TCAACAATTTCAACGATTTTCTTTGTTCGCCTTATTATTATAGTAATCAAATTATCCAAGAAACTCATTAAGAGTAAAGATTATTCATTTACTTTAATCATCTTCAATCGATGTTGGATAATTGGATGGTAATTCAATCTAAAGATTGAGAAAGATTCCAGAAATAAAGTTTTGTATCGAAATTTTCGTTCGATTTTGAAACATTGCTGTTGAAAGATTGGGTTGAGATGTAAAGCACTTTAACCAAATGAGAAATCTCATGAAGCAAAAATTCGAATAAAATATTGAATTTCATGCGATCAAGTTCATCTTGGTTCATCAATATTGTCTTTTGAATCGCTTTTCATTTTTGAGTTACAATTAGAGTTGAGTAAATTGTGTAATATCGATAGTCTCAAGAGTTGCTCAACATTTAGTTGCATTGAAACTCTACTTTTGGATAAAGTTAATGGAATGAATTTCATGCAAATTATATCGCAATCAATGAACAACTTTACACAAGATTTACATTCAACTTCTCCAACAGAGATTCTTCTTCTTTTATCGACTTATTGGTCGATGGAAAACATTTTTCGTAAGATTCTTGATATTGACTGGATTCTCTGTTGAAACAGAAGATAAACTTGCTTGACATCTGGATCAATTACAAATTGAAATGATCTCTTGTCTCTTTGGAAATATTGATTCAATTGAATGGGTCGAAGTAATTGGTAGGAGAAGCAACTTTTGATGAACCTAATTGTCGAGGAATATTGAAATATCTGATCTCAGTGGTAATCCTTTGCTCTTTATTTCCGTAGAGACTGAACATGTTTCATAACAAAAGATACAATTTCCAGTGAGATAAACGTAATTGAACTTATATAAGATTTATGTACAAGAATAACATTTACCTGTCAAAGCAAGTGACCGTGATTGTGAAGACTGAAGATGATGTTGCTACCGAAGAGAGGAAATTGTTGATTATACAATAAGTTGTACCAAATGGCCAATGGCTTTTAAGCATAAAAATAAAGTTAAACATTGTATTGAAAGTGGCCATCATGAGATCGGCAACCGATAAGTTGAGAAGAAACAAGTTTGTTTTGGTTCTCATCTGTTTGTATCCACAAATTATTAGGATAACAATTAGATTACCAATTATGGAAGAGATAACATTTAAACTGAATATAACTGTCCAGAAAAACTGTAAACCCAATGATGGGACAAATGGACGATAACCATCGACAGTGGTTGACGATTCTGTCGATGAAAGGGTCGATTGGGTCGACACCAAAACTAGTGATTGGGTGGTTGATAGATACAGATTGTTGCTGAAACACTTTTCAATTACATTTTGATCCAAATAGTCGGTCACAATTGATTGGTCACAAGATGTGTTTACTAATGATTTATACTGAGCATAATCCATGGTTAAAATTTATTCAAAAGTTTCACTTTAAAGTTCATTGAAAATCACTGACAATGAAAACAATTTTAAAACATTTAATTTTAATATCTTTCCATGAAAATCTAATTCACTGATTTATCTAGTTTTACATGACTGTAAACATGGGCAAAGTGTCTAATTTTTTGAGCTTGGATAACTTTTGCTCGATGTTTTTTTTACTCCCAACTATTTGAATCTGCGCAAAATTACTGAACTTTTTTTTGCGACCGAGAACTCGATTTCTTGGGTTTATTCAATCACTTCATTGTCATAATCTATACATCGAGTAGTTCAATTGAACAATTTAAACATTTAAACATTTATGCTTTATTTTAATAAAAACTCAGGGGAAACTCAATGAAAACCATTTCAAGAAATGTCAGTTATGATGCTTAATATTCATGTATGGGAAAAAAATTGAAACATAAATTCAATTTCGTCTAAACGAATGGATTTACATGTATTTATCTCAACTCTTATACTGTTTAATATCCATTGACCATGGGAGACAATTATCATGATACGATTGAAACAAATGTCTTAGTCGAACATGTTTTGTGAATATTTTTTCACATAAAATTGATTAGCTAAATAAGACTATTTGTGCTCATTAATCTTCATAAATCTTTCTATCGATTCTCATTTTGATCATTCTTTTATCCTCGTTTCAACTATCATTCAACATCTTCATCAAGAGATAATGCAGTGATCAACTGTGGGTCAAAGGCTGGTCAGACCTTGAATGGTTTTCTTGGTTTCTCATTGTTATTCAAGCTGCCCAACAAACGTATCAAAACCAACCTCATAACTATTAATTTTTCTGTTGCTCAACAATATTTCCCTTTACTTTTGGTTAAACCATCGTAACAGTTATGCGGACATAAGGCACAACTAACAAGACTTTTGCTTCAGTCTCCAACCACGAGGATCTTTTAAATTTAATATCAATCGCTGAAACAAAAACACTGAAAATAACATAAAATATATTAAAGCTAATTCTGGAGTTGATTGCTGGTCAATTGTGTTCACTAATGCAAGCATTAGATATTTGAAAAATACTTTGACATAAAGTGAAACAGAAATATCAATTTCACGAAATCATGAATTAGAATGAACATTTGAGCGTATTTTTCGTGATTGAATCAAACTGTTGAATAAACAGTCCTCATTGTGTTTATTAGGCTGTTATCCACTTCGAGTGATAGCAATAATTGGATATTTACTTGAAATGTATTTTCACCCAAAGATTGTCGATTCATCAACGATTGAACACTTGACGTTATCGATGAACAAGTGATGCTTATGCCATCTATCATTGATCATTCAAGTTAACTTTTCAAATATGCAATTTTATTCAATGAAAAATTTTAATATTTCATGAAAAGAAACAAAAGTCTAAATAAAAATTTTCTGGTATCAATGCTCTTGATGAATTGTTAACATTTAAGCGCAATAATCCGCAAATTTGTCTGTGAAAAGTTATTACAAATCAAATTTCTTTATACTCTTTCTTCATGACTATTGATTTCAAGAGAGGAAAAATAATGACTTGAAATGGTTAAAAGTAAATATTATAATAGATTCGAAACAATTTTTCAATCAAAATAATGATCATGTTTTCCAAGTTTCCCTGTTTTCCCCTTTCATTTATTTTGCTTTTAATCTTACTCTGCATTGTTTATTCTTATTTAGTCGTTAAGCGAAAGCCATTTTGATTGAAAAAAATGAACAAAATTGTTCAAGTATATTTGATACGTACAGAAGCATTAGTTTCTTTATTTACAGGGAAAAAAAAGTTATTCTCCATGGTAAAGGGTAGATTGAGAAGGTTGGAAAACTGAGACACAAAAAGTTATCATGTTTATTGAAACATATAAATGAGAAGGAAAAAAACTAATAACAACTTGGATACATAAAAATTAGAGTTATTGTTATCAACTGGGAGTGAAAGAAGATGAATGAATAAGAATTATGTGCATTACTTTTTATCAACACTATTATATTACAGTTGCAACAATTGTATTTTGTTATTATAAATAAGGTTGCCGGAGCAGCTAAAGACTAAAATGTAATCATTTTGTATCAACAGAATAATTAACATAACAATGATAATATAAGCTGGAAATAATAAGTTGCTCAAATTGTCAAATTACGCCGTCAACATTGGTAAATGTTTCCAATCGTTGACAGTTTTCACTCTTGAGTCTAACATTTATTTACTTATTTTGTAGTTTTATTGATTACAGATTTCACAATTAAATTGAAAAACTCCAAGCCAATAATATGCAGAACCAACTGTTGAATCTGCTTTTAAATTAAATTTACTACATTCCATTTTGACATTGATCGTAACCAAATGAAGATCAACTGGTAGCATGCAAAATCAAGTTGAAACATGTTAACTCATGTGACACTTAGGATTCTATATGAATTTAATTCGACAAAAGGAAATATAAAATTGTAATTTTTCGTGATTTTTCGTTAATCGAAGGTATTTTGAGAAAATCAAAAACTCGTATTAGATTTTCAATCCACTTTCAGATAAAAGTTATGAAAACATATCGCTATGCATGATATTCTTGAGAGATTAAGTTAATGATCATTTACAGATATTAATGAGTAGCCAATTGAAGCATCATCATGATTTTCAGAAGCACAGAGGTTATCTCGTTTTTAGCTGTACACAGTTCTACAGATGACAATTCATCAAGTGAATCACCAATCTTGTGAATCATTGATAAACTAATGATATGTCAAGTGAAGAATGCTGATTGAGAGAAGAGAGGAATCGGCTATTCTTTACATTAGCCTCTACCTCAGATTGCCTATAAACTTTTGTGAGACAGATTTTTTATGTTTAATTTTTACCCAAAGCGGCTCAAATTTTCCGTTCACTAGTTATCGTCTGAAAAAATCGAAATCCTGATCTTTTTATTCTCAACATTCGTAATCCATTATGGGTTGATGAGAAAATTATCAACACTCTCTGTACCATTTACAGTTTACTTGTTATTTCATTATTCAAATCATTTTTACTATCGAAGCAAAGCGAAGCGAACATTTTGGATCAGCTTAGTCAATTTGAATATTCACTTTTACTGATTCTTGTTGGACCATTTTCATGCTGTGGAATGAGCTTGTATTAATCGAGCAAATTAATCAATGAGAAAACTCATCCAGAATGAGACAAGTAATAGCAATGACGGTTTCTCTTGGAAGTGTATCAAATCAAGAAAAAATCAACACTGCATCACCACTTTGGCAAATTAAATTTTATAAACACAAGATGATACCAGGCAACATAATCATTTTCATACCAATAATTATCTTCAGTCTTATTGGATTCCCAAGCCAATAAGGGTAGCATGTAATCAGAATTATATGCTTAAATCGAATTGAAAATAATTCGATATTTGATTGCATGGATTGAATGTTATCTGATGAATTGTCTAACTCTATTTCGGTAACAGTAAATGGCATAACTGAAGCTATATAATCAGTTCAAGTATTTTATTAATCAAGTAACAAGATACTATTCAAATGGTTTGATATTGCATTTAATGAACTTTACCTGTCAAAGCAAGTGACCGTGATTGTGAAGACTGAAGATGATGTTGCTACCGAAGAGAGGAAATTGTTGATTATACAATAAGTTGTACCAAATGGCCAATGGCTTTTAAGCATAAAAATAAAGTTAAACATTGTATTGAAAGTGGCCATCATGAGATCGGCAACCGATAAATTGAGAAGAAACAAGTTTGTTTTGGTTCTCATTTGTTTGTATCCACAAATTATTAGGATAACAATTAGATTACCAATTATGGAAGAGATAACATTTAAACTGAATATAACTGTCCAGAAAAACTGTAAACCCAATGATGGGACAAATGGACGCAAAGTATCACTTGATTTGATGTAATTTAAATTAAGACTTGCAATGAATGAAGGTAAAAGCGTTGAATCACTAAAGGCACTGAAACAAAGTTTGAATAAATCCGGTTGGTACGATTGAAGTAAACAATTAGTTAAATTGGTTAACTCATCAGTTGAGTTGATCAAGTTGACATTTTCGTTATAAACATTAACAAGATAAACTGTATCATCATATCTATCCGAAAATGGTTCATCAGCAAACATTATTAAACAGTTATCCTGAAATGTTGAAGAGACCAGAAAAGTTAAACAGACAGAAAAGGTGAAACCAAGACTCTTTCAAACTGGTGAACAGTCATCAATCTCAATGTAATAAATATATTAGAATAGATTCATTGCAATGCTGAACTTGATGATGAACTTCCACAAGTTGATGCAACTAGTTATCATCATGATTAACTGAGTTTCCTAAATAAACCTTATGGTATGAGAAACGAAATGCTTTTTTACTCTTTACTTTCATGGCGACTAATTCATGCGCAATTCTGAATCATCTGAAGAATGAGAAAAAAGGTTGAAAATAAATGTTGAAAGTAAATAACGAGAAATCGAGACGATTTTTAAACACTAAAAACAACAATGTTGTTACGATGTAAACAGTGAAAAAATTTACACGCAAAAAATGATTTATTTTGTACGGTTTACAAAGAAAGGTTAAGATTAAGACAAATTGTTCGCAAAGGTGAAAGTTTCAATTTAATCTTGGCGGCAAGGGTTGTTAAATTAATAACAAGAAGAGAAACTTATTAACAATTGATCAGAAGAAGATCATTATTCTTTTCTGGTAAAAAGGACGAAATGTTATTAATAATAAATGTCATCAAATATTTTTATGTTTATCTAATGTGTATCTAGGATCAGCCAAAAATTGCAGTGAAATTATTGTTAATTAACTTAACAATGAGTTGCCTTATTAACTTCTTTTTCCTTGTGTATATCATTATGCATTACCATTACGGTAATAATACGACAGCAAAAGGTTCATTGCTTGCTCTAGCCTTGTCAAGTGTATTATGTTATTTTATTTGGTTCATTACCTGTTTTCATTAATTTGTTTGCTGATAAACTCACCATTACTTGAATGCCTTTCTTTTGCACCTACAATATCAACAGGTGAAAGCATGCAATGTATTATATTGGAACATTTTTGCTCATTCTTTTATTTCATTGTTGCATGAATCGAAGTTTTTTCTTGAAATTAAAAAATAATTCCAATGAAGCCAGTTTAACTTTGACTAACTCTACATTGTATCTACGTTAGTGTGAGCCGGTTTCAATTACCATTACTGAAAGTTAGTTAGACAGCCATTATTTGAATAAAAATTCTGCAATATAAAACTGTCATTGAAGTAAGGCTCGATGTGAAAATAACGCAAGCTTTTATTAAATAAAACATGAAAGTAAGAAAAAATCAAAAAAAATTAAGCAAGTCCTCAAAATAGAAATTGAATAAATAATTCTGATGGTTTTGCTGAAAAATGTTAGAAGTAAATAGATTTAGTGAAAAGCGAAAAAATGGCATTGAAATTTCATATTATTATAATCATTTATTATTATCATAAAATTGATTATCATAAAGCATAGAATTGCACCTTTTTAAATATTTTAATTAAACATCGCCTTTTGCTAGGAGGCTCTGACTTTCGTTCTGGTTCTGGCTGTTCATCACTCTCTGATAGGGGAGTGATTTCCATAATTGGTTCGTCCGTGACTTCATCGGGATTAATAGTAAAATCAGGATTAAACTTACAATTATATGAATTGGATTTTCCACTTTTTCTCGCTAGAATTTTATATTGATTCGTGCGATCGTTGCCAATAAATTCTGCGATTTCAATTGAAATGCCTAAATAATTCAGCTGCTCCTTGAATTTTCTAAAAATTTTTCTTCTAACTGTACATGATTTTCGAGAAAAAAAAATCGAATGTATTCAGATATTTGCGCTGGTAGAAATACATAATCTATGTCTCCAGCAAAACGCGCAAATGTATTATATTTTGCTGATGATAAATTCATCATTTGTTTTCTGCTGACTTCAAAAGTCAGATAATTTGGACCAACACAAAAGAGTTTCTCAATGAAATCTCCGTGTGAAAATTTTATAATTTAATGATTGAAGCTTTTCACCAGATCTTTTTTTTCATACAACTTAAACTCCTGACATGGAGTATCTTTGGGCACATAAGAAGTGTAAACTGCAAACAGAAATGAAATACAAAATTAATGGAAAAGAACAAAAAACAATATTATAATCAAACAAGTTACTCACATGGTTGGACCCTATCATTTATCAGTCGATCAGACTCGTGTCTTGGCCAAAGAATAACTGCTCGCCAGAATTTGTAAAGACGTTTGGCAATAACGATGGGTTGATTATCGACAACAGAGCTATCACGATAAATGTGTAAAAATTTTACACCAATGCTTTCCAGTTGGGTAGTAAATTCCTCTAAATCTCTCGGTTCAACATCCACTTCATCTGCATGGAACATGGCTTTAATGGCCACAAAATGAAGGATAAACGGTGTCAGGGATCAAAATCCTTTTAACCTCAGGGTTAGAGGGGAGTAGTGGGGCGAACAATGTTGCGACAGAGGAAATTAGACCTTTGTCCATCTCAAACCATCCTCCCAAATGATGGGCGACGATAAAATTGGAACGAGATTGGGGTCTAAGACGCACTGACATGGTGTGTAGAAATGCGTGCACAAAAATGCATTTTTTGCAAGAAAACGGGTTTTGACCTCAATTTTCTCGTGATCCGAAAGTTTCCTATCTGGAACCGACAAACCCTTATCCTAGTTTTTTATGCTCTATCGAATGAACATAGTCCCGAACCGAAATTATTGAGACACCTGAGACACTTCCCTTGTTAGATAATGTATAATATTCTCGAGAAGTTTTTTAACACAAACAGGTCTACATTGAAATTTCAAAGGAAATTTTACACATTTACGGTCACGTATTTGGTCACTACATTTACGGTCAAGTATTTGGTCACTCTAAATAGACTCATAATCCTCTCTGGTTTGCATAAAAGTTGGTTTTAGAAAAATAGAAACTTGGGTAATAATTTTTACTTGAATCTAAACAATTCTAACTAAATCCGAGAAGTGAAATATTGCAATTCATAAAGTCACAGACTTTTCATTTACTAAATTGTGTCCAATAATAAACTGACAAACTCCAAAGACTGACCTTAAGGTGTATTGATAAAAGTATTGATGTTTTGGCTTTTCTCTTGATGGACAATCTAGCATTGAAATTACATTATCTTGTAATTTCATGAAATAGCAAGCTTAAACTTTCAGCTCTTCTAATATCAATACTTTCACCATATTTTTTCACTTTTGACAATATTTTTTCTGTCGTTGCTTCCAAACAACATTTTATTCTCACATCAGAATAAATTGCTTGATTTTTGTTGTTAGCTTATTTTTCATCCATCTACAGATTCACTATAAAATTTTCATCATTAAATCTTGAAATTCAATTTTGTCAATTCATGTTACATTACTTTATGAGCAAACAATCGTCCTTCTGTTTGTCAGTAAAGTTTTCAAAATTTTGTTTCAATTATTTGATGAACAGCTCAAAATTAGAGTTTACTTGTTTCCTTTCATTTCCAGAAACATAACATTTATTAACTGTCAAAATTTTTTTAATCAAAAGTTACATGATTTTTCAATTCTTTTCACACAACCAAGATATTTAGAAAAGTTAATCAAAGATAAATAAACTCGACAACTCCTATTTTCAGCTTTTTGTTGAACAATTAAAACACAACCCTTACATTCACTTGAAATTCAAAATCACTTTATTAACATAATACTGGCAGTTACCAAGTTTATTGAGCATTATCGTTCATTCAATTTGTTTTTTACCCTGCTAATGAATTTGTCCAACTGTTGATGATTCAAATCGTAATACGTTGGTAATAGAAGCTTTGTTCTTCGGTTCATTCAGTCATCACTTCGTCTACTTAATATGCATGTTGAAAATGAATATAATTGACTCAATCAATAATGATTTAATCAGTCAGCTTACTTTATCAACATAATTTGTTCATCTAATTAGACCTTTTTTGTCTCCATTTTCTGAACATAGTTTCTATATTTAGTATTTAAGCTGATTAAAGACGAAGATGTTCAGGTTTCAATTGAAAAAAATGATTTTTTTGTTCCTTCCTCTTCAACTTGCACAAATCTATACAACATTCAGACAAATGTCAAGGTGTACATAGATTCATTAAGAGGTCAATGAATCTCTCTAATTACTAATCATTTGCCAATACCTCAACTTGTTAATCTGGCCAATTCTCACAGCTCTGAAACACAGAATAATGTAGTTTTATAATTACTTTTTGGCTAATTTGAAATTTAAGTTTGAAAACCTTTGAGCTAAAGGTTATATTAATAACTTTACGTGTTGCTTCAAGAGCAAATCAGAATTGCTGATTTATATTCTATTCACTTTCATTTTTATTTCATGAACACTTTTCTGATTACATTTTCTCTGCTTTTATTACTCCTACTATTTACAGAATAATGTGTTTTTGCTGTGTTCCAGCATTGCCAATCTAAATTCATAGCAAAACATTATTTTTAAATGTAATCCTGAAATTAAGAAACACCGAGAGTTCCTTTCATTCTGGTTGAAACAAAAAGCGATATCAGACTGGCAAATCAAGCTCCAAGCCCATGGCATCGTTCAAAGCGTATCGATCCCTTAACCACCCAAAGAAATGGAGCTGAGGAAACATTTATAACCACCAGTATGGCTCGTAAATTGGTTAAAAAAATTGAATGCCTCTGGCTAAGTTGAATGTTCAGCTAAAGGTTTATCCGGGATCAATGATGTAAGACACCTCTTCAATCATGAAGCCAAATGTTGAAATTTAATGTCATTGGAAAAGTTTCTACACTTTATACATTCATCTCGTAGCAAATTTCACGAATTAACTTTTAAATTTGGTATGCTTTCCATGTATTCCTGATCTGACAAGCTTGGTTCATCACTTGCATTAACAGTTTATAACTTTCAGTCAGCAATGGGAAAAATAATTTACTTTCTGTTGTGTCAGAATTGTTTCAAGCTTGACACAATTTAATATACTTATTGCATAATATACCTTTGAGCTTTATTTAAAAAAATCACTCAAAGATGTCTTCTCAACTAGTCAGCTTGAGATTGCGATTTAAATAGTCATCTTATTATAATAGTTATAGATATCATTATTATGAATATTCATAATTTCTGTTAAAATATATTTCATATTTGCTTTTTTGCAAGTAAAATCAGCTTTCAAGTTACAGTCAGTCAAAGTGGAATCAAAACCACCAATTTTTATGCTGATAAATCTGGTTAATTGTGAAACTGAAAATCTAATCTTTCCTTCTTTATTTTAACACAGGTAATTTTGGAAGCCATGAAAGCCGGAATGATGGGCATAAACAATTATTGAATTTTCATCGCCAATACGACACCTGTAAAGACAACAAATCAACCTGTTTTGCCTAAAGTTTTCATTTAAATAATCTTTACTCACCGAGAACTAAATTTGAATGCCTTTTGCGATCTGTTTCTGGTTAACAAAAATACTGACTGAGCTGATTTGATCACTCACTTGAATTAATCTTGCAATCAATTTTAGTCGTTAGTGGTTAAAACCTGTGTTAAGTTGGATAATGTAAATGGTTTAACAGGAAATTAGATTGTCTTCATCGAGAATATACATTATCTGATAATCGCCTTATCGGAATGTCGAGTTAATTTGATTGTACAGATCTTATGCTTATCTAATTGGATTGTATTGATGATGGTGGCCATGAATCCAAACTGCACCATGAATCTGATGTTTTATGGCTTTCTCAGTTAATCTATTGAAATAGTCACAATAGTATCACTGGTCTTATTTCAATCCATTACAATTCTTACTACTGAATTATCTAAATCAATATCAATCACTGACAATAATGATTTTCTGATTAATTCATTGCAGATTGTCTTATTGTGTGTTTAAAATAGTCCTTACATTGTTCATCAAACAAATAATAATCAACAATATTTAGTTACTGAGTTGGACCCCTTGCTGATATATATCATTGCCATCTTACACTTCATAAGCTTAGTGCAAAAATATTGAAAAATTCATCTGAATTATTGATTACGACGATTTGACAGTATCAGGATTTTGAGTACAAACACAAATTGCTAATTCACTTTGACATGTTAAGAATAGAAATTTCTAAGTCAAGATTTCTTTATTAATCAGTTAATTATCATATAGACCATTAACATTGAAAAAATAGAGTCATAGATGAAGTTCAAGTTTTCAAGGACTGAATCATGAACATCTCATATGGAAGCCAGTCATAACAATGAAATGAGGTCTAATTGATCATTAGTAAATAAACTATGAAATTATGAAGTTTTATATACATTTGAAATCAAAAATTTATTAATTGTTTCGCCGTTGGCAAACATATTCATTATACCGTTTATAAGTAAAAGTAAAAAGCGATTTGTTTACACTGAAAAATCTCAACAATTTAAAATTAAAATGATAATCAGGATTAAAATTACTGAAAATCAAAAAAAGATATTAACAAGTTATAGTCTTTTAAAGAAAATAGAAACTTGATGTTTCGATGGACAACATTTGGCTGGACGGTTAATTCACGATTATTTATAACAAATTATGATATCTTTGTTCAAATGTGAGCCTTTGGAGTTGCCAATAAATAACTGGTTAAAAAGGATAACAATGATGATATTCAGGCTAAAGTTCATCGAGTAGGTTCTTTGTTATTTTATCAGTTCCATTGTAATTATAGCTGCCAATGTCAAGATCTAAAATTTTTACCATGATCGGGTAAAGGTCAATGTTGAAGAAAGATGATTGGTTAAGATTAAAACTATCCTTGAAAGCTGGTCCAGTGGCAATGAAAAGCGCTTCCATCTCGGGTTGTGTATTATTATTACCATGATTACCCCATTTCTCATCTTGATGAGACCAAGTTGTGAAAGCAATTTCATATCCAGGATCGGCCTCCAATAAGATTGGCATAATACGACGATTGTACCTAAGATAAATGACCAATAAAACAAGAGAGATAAAACAGTTAGTAAAATAATTTTGTTTAAATGATTTAGAGAAGTAAAACCCAATTCTCTACACCAATATTACTACTGTTACTGTAATCATAAAAGCTCAACAGAATATTTTCCGTTATTGATAAAATTTCTGCATGTAACTTTTCCATATTATATTATTATTAAGGTGATATACATTTTGATCTTAAAGTTTTCGGAATAATCCAACTATTTTTAGTAGATGTTGTCATTATCAGTGCAACAATAAAGATAAAGTTAATTGTTCGGCTAAAAAATTGAAAACGATAAGCTCTAACTGAATTGGCAAGTGCAACATTTGTTCAAACACAAAGCTAAATAAAAATAAAGACATGGAACTTTCTGCATAAAATAAAAGCTAAATATTATAATTGAAAAGGTTAAGATAATTATTGTATTCACCTGTAATGATATTCCTCAGGAATTTCATCCTTTTTGTAAACTCTGAAATGATTTGTTTTTGCCAGCGATACAAACATTTGATAAACTTCCTCTTCCTTTCCCTCGTTAGGCAGAATACCAATTGCTTGAGATCCTCCAAATTGTCTGAAACTAGTTAAATCAGGAACTATTGCCGTTAAATTTATGCCAGTTTTTGCGTCAAACTCTTGCATTCCATGGTCACTAACCAAAATGATATTGGTTGATTCAGTTAAATTGTGTTGGGACAAGTTTTCCAGCAAATAAGCAACAGTCCTGTCTGCCATCATAACCTGCTCAAGGGTTTCTTTACCGAAAGGTCCATGATTGTGAGCTGTTTCATCAGGATTTTCAATGTACAACATAACAAGATTGGCAGGATTTTCAGTGTCTGTAAACCATTTCATCAGAAGATCAACTCGTTGTTGCATACTAAGTGTACGGTTAAAATCAATTGAGTAGTAGGCTTTATCCCCACCAAAGGTAAATCCTGATCCTGGCCACATTATGCCACCACTCTTTCGGCCATCAACTTGTTGGTTAGCAATCTAAATGGTTGAAGTAGAAAAAGATTTAGTATTGAATTTCAATGAAATATTTCTCTAATGTTTACCCATATTGGAAGTGAATAACCATTATCCCACCACATTTGAGTGCTATGGGACAGGTCAAAGACTGCTTTAAATTCAGGATCGTACATATTATTTGCAACGATTCCATGGGCTTCCTCATAAAGTCCGGTAGCGATTGAGAAATGATTGGGAAAAGTTTTACTGACAAACACAGGAAACATTTTACCAGTTGCTCCAGTCTGCTTGAGTGACCACAGAGTTGGTGTCAGTGTGGGTGACACGTAATCAGCTCGAAAACCATCAAATGAGATGACAATTAATCTGGGTTGGTCATTTTGGTCGTCACCAGAAGATTGGGTTATGATGATGGAGGCAACAATGACAAGTATGGTTGCACAAACGAGTGTTCCCACAATAATCAAAATCTTCTTGTTATTCATTTTGATACTTGCAATGATCAGGGTAAAATTGGTACATTCATTTAACTTTTCAAGGTATTTGGAAACTTTTATAGTCAACTTGGTAAGTTATGACTACCTAACCGGTGGTGTGGCGATAGATTACAGTGATAGCAACCAAGAAATTTTATTATACCAAAGGATGAACCATGCTAAGGAAAATGAAAAAAGATATAAAATAAATTGAAATAGATAATCAGAGAGTAAATGAACAAACACAATTACAGGGTGAAATGTGTCTATCATTGTCTTCAGCTTCCCTCCTCCTTCTGAACATTATGCTTCCTCTTCGTCTCCTCCTTCTACTTTTCATCTTCTCTCTGTCTCTTTAGCTTCTTTAATCGACATATCCAGTCAACTAATATGTTATTCAACCAACCACACAATGCACCTTTCAAATTTTCACAGTTGACTCAAAAAGTGATCTATTTTCCCATTGAAACAAGGAGAGAGCTTTTAAAATGTAAATAAACAGTTAACTTACCTCTAAACTTGATTTGTTTTTAACACCATCTAAGCAAACAAAATGTTGTTTACTTTGCCACTTTGAAAGGTTTGCAATAAAAATTGATTACAATCTGATGAAAAGTAGGATATAGATTCACAAGGGTCATGATTTAACCATAGTCCTGTTCATAATGTTATTGAAAATGCACGGTCACCACAAAGCAAAATTTCACCTCCAGAACGACTGATTATCCAGATTGATTATTATTTTACATCTCAGCTAACCGTGTTGATGGAGCAGAGACAAAGCTAATTGCTAAATTCATTGGAGTAAATGAAGAGAAACTGTTCTCCAAGCAACAGCTGATTTGTTTATCTAATGATCTATTGGAAAAACAAGTTGAGGTTGGAGTTTCCAGTGGAAGCTGCTTCTTGACAGTAATTTGATCGTAATCGGGTTCGACCATTTTTTCGTCTTCCAATATTGTGTCCTTATAGAGTACATTTGACTATCAATTGATTGATTAGAGACTCTTGATGATTGATTTATTTCAACCTTGGCCCTCATTTTACACAGGATTAACTGAGTCTGTTTAACTGTATCACAGTTATCACAATGCTCATCAATTAATCATTCCAGTTGAACATGAGCTTGATTAATAAGTTAATTTTACTTTTCATTATGAACCTCAGGTGAGTAAAACCAAACAATAAATAAGTGGAGAGGATAAATTTTACTTGCAATTAATATATCTCAAAGCGTAATGAAGCTACTAAGCCATTTTTGATGATCATTAAAGAATAATGGATAACCCTAATAATAAACAAATAAAAACAAAATATAAATTATGATTAATTCCTGTTGATCCGATATTAAAAAATGGTTGAATTTGAATTGAAACATTTAATTTGATTTACAGCAAACTTTGCTTAGCAAAGTCAACAAAGAGCCATCTATTGAGATACATTCGTACATTTACTTCAATTTGAAAGACTCTGTCAGCTGTTTTGTATCGACACATTTTGCTCTTGTTTTCTAATCGTGATTTTTGTTTGGCTTTTGATCGTAAAAATGTCTGAATCAAATGATATGAATAAATTGTCTATTCATGAAGACAAATCTCAGGAAACTCTTCAACAAGAGGAGCGTGAAAAAATGCAGTAAGTATATTTTTTCTCAACTATTTCCACTTTCTTTTACTTCTGCAGTAAATCATCAGTCATTTAATTTTCTTTTGTCTGTTTTTTTCAGAGTTTTGGTATCAAATTTTAGTGAAGAGCAACTGAATCGATATGAAATGTTCCGCAGAGCATCTTTCCCAAAAGCATCTGTAAAAAGATTGATGCAGTCCATTACTGGATGTTCAGTATCCCAAAACGTTGTAATTGCTATTTCTGGTGTTGCTAAAGTTTTTGCGGGTGAAGTTGTTGAAGAAGCCTTGGACGTGATGGAAAAGCTGGGAGAAAGTGGACCAGTAAAGCCCAAACATCTTCGTGAAGCTGTTAGACGATTGAGAAGTAAAGGGATAGTCCAAGGTGGTCGATTAGCTAATAAAAGGCCTTACTTTTTCAGATGATCATTTTAACAATTGTAAACTAAATTCCATTTTCGTGTCAATGCAACTTAACTGATCGACCTGACTCTGTACTTATAAATTGACCAGCATTCATCTCAATATAAATGTGATTCTACTCTTATAGACTGTGATTTATTTTATTTTGTATCAGAATTAAATTTGAATAATGAAAATTGAGAAATCATTTATAAATGTATGAAGCCATTCTAGGTGAATTCAGCAAGTCTTCAAATATTTACGGTAAAGTTTCAAATGATAAATAAGAATCATTTTTCTAATGATTCGGATTATGATCAATACACGAATTTTAAAGAGTGCATCCTAATTCTAAATAACAAATATTCTGTGAAAATTGTCTTTTAAAAATGAAAATGAATGTCCAACAGATATTTTGTGTGATTTTCGGAACATCGTAGGATGAAATTTATCAAAAGTAATAAGAAATCAAGATTTCAAAATGAATTTAATTTTATTCTGATGGATTGTTAACTTTTGTTTCTACATTTATCGGTAAAAATATTGCAAAATAGAGTAAATTATTTGAACAAAAAAAACTTGATCGAGACTTTGAAAAATGACAATTGAATAAAAAGATTTGTAACAGAGGAATCATTTGTGTACTGAGAATAGTGTCGATTGAAAAAATAATCACAGATAGTTGAAGTATAAAATTTGATTTTGACTAAAGAGCTTTGACTTATTAACCAATCAATCCTTTGCCACCAGCGACACCCTTCTTAACACCAGCAACACCAGCAGCACCAGCGGCCTTCTTAAATCCTGCAGCACCAGCAACTCCAGCTTTTCCTCCTGCCTTTGCAGCTGCTCCAGCGGCGAATCCTTTCTTGCCTCCTTTAGCACCCTTCTTGAATCCAGCGGCACCAGCAGCACCAGCAAATCCTCCTTTAGCACCCTTACCGCCCATAGCTCCACCAGCAGCACCATAACCAGCAGCTTTACCGAATTTGAATCCTTGGCTCATTCCGAACTTCTTGACAACTCCCATTTTCTTGTTGAATCCAGCACCACCGGCCTTTGCGAATCCTCCTTTCTTTCCGAATTTCTTACCGAAAGCTCCAGCAGCGAATCCTTTCTTTACTGCAGCACCTTTTTTGCCTGTCAAGTGGATAATCAGTTATTCAATGAGTTTAGTTTACTTGAGCAAATGCTTGCAGTTTAATGAACTGAAATACCATAGACTCATTTACTTGGTAGATTGTTCAATTAAAACATCTAAGTTTATTGTCTTACCTCCAGCGGCTCCAGCGGCTCCAAATGCGGCACCACCTTTAGCTCCTTTAGCTCCTGCTTTGAATCCAGCTTTGCCTATGAGAGTTAATATTTCAAGTTTAATATTTTTGTTGATTTTTGTCTTGTTTTTGTTTTAATTTTAAACACTTACCTGCTTTACCTCCTTTGAACCCTGCTGCTGCTGCACCTTTCTTTCCAGCTTTGTGGGCTACCACTGCTGCTCCTCCTTTACCACCCACAGCTGTTTCGGCTTCTTCTAGATCTGAACCAATCTCTCTTTTGTTTCGACTTTCGATTGGAGATTCATCAGCTTCATCAGGTTCGAAGTTTTCTTCAGCATCATCTAATTCACTTTGATCGGAATCTTCAGACTGACATTTTGCAACTGAGACAAACATCATTGAGAATAGAGCAAGTAAAAGGACCTAAAGTCAAAATGGAAATAAACAATTTAGATCAATATCATTCAAAACTTAGTAATAGTTAGTGAAATTTCGCACTTACCAATCGCATGTTCATTTTGATGGAGTTTTTGTTAAGTCTTTTAGGAACAAAAATTTGAAAAAATCGCAACTGTTAAAAAGGCACTAGATAAGTCAAAAAGCTTTGGTTTGGAGCTGTAGTTGTTGTTTTTACTTTACTTGTTAGATGGTTGAAACTGAACTGATACTTTTCTCTTGGTTTCAATTATTATTTATACTTATTCACCAATAATCAGGATCACATTGGAACATTATCAATGGAATGGTTTCCCGTTGGAAATGACCTTAACAGGAGATAATCTTTGAAGCAGATATCGTTCACGGGATAACCCGTTTTAACATAACTTTTAACAATATTGGTTTAACGAGGTTGACAAAAATGGAGGAGGAGGAAGTATGCTTTTTTGGGTTCAAATCAACCTTTCATAGATATTTGTTGATTTTGATGAATGATCTTGAAATAAGGTCCAATGCACTTATTTACCACCTTTCCCTTGTATCAAGTACAATCAATTGTTTCCTTCGTCATCTTTCACTTAACATGCATCGGCTTTTGGATACTGGTCAAACCACAGAATCAACAATTAAAAATTTAACAATAAATTGAAATCACTTCACCCCAAGTTACCTTGTTAACAAGTGAGTTAAACAAATGACTCTCATTATTGCCATTCACTTCTGTCCAGTCCGTTGTTACTCTCAAGGTGATTGTCAATTGTTGATTTGAAATGCATTGGAAACAGATAATTCCGGGATGTAAATGATTTACTAAAATAAAGGTGATTAATTTTGAAGCAACTGTTACACTGGACGGATAAATTAACAACCAAAACGATTCTAATGCATATCCAGTGTACCTTTACATTGATGGCATTGAATATCACATTTGACTTATTCTTCCATTAAAGTAGAGTTTATTTACACCTGGGTTAGCACAAGTTCTTGGCATCTTTACAATATTTTTTATCATTCAATCAAACTCCAACAATAATTGAATAAAAAACTTCCAATTTAAATATTACATGGCCGTTGGGTATCAAACTGAAAAAAACGAAACATGAAAGTTAACATTTTCGTAGTTTCCTTGGTCTTGTCTCATAAACAAAGTCTTGTTTTTCTTGTGTTTGGTAATTTTCCATCTATTCTCAACTGCTTGAACTCAATTATAATACATGTCAAGTTATAATTACTCGTGTTGGACTGCTAATCACAATTTATTTCAATCATAAAATTAAAGCAATTACGTAAAAATAACGCTTATGCAACATTGTTTAACATTGAACTACAGGATGGCAGCACAACCCTTTAAATGCAAAGAGAGCCATCTATTGAGATTCAACAACATTTAGTTAATTGTCAACAAAAAATGTTAATTCTTTCAAATCAGTTTCTAAACCTCTTTGAATTACATGTTTGTTGTTAAACAAATGTTGAAATATCCATGTTCAAGATGATTATCAGACAGCCATTGATTGAGTAAATAATGAAAATTTAATAAACACTTGAAAGCTTGAAACACTCCTAAATGATCAACCTTAATATTTGTTACAAATGAATGTTTATAAATGTTAACAAATGAAGAGACCAAAATTTGATCAGAAATGGGTTCAACCTTTTGAATTAGATTAATGTTGAACACTTAACACTGTCTGATTCACACAATTGAAATGCAACCAATTTAAATAGACAGCATGTTAACAATAAACATGATTAGACAAGTTGTTGATTAAGCTTTCATGATCAGTCCAGACATCAACAATAGATGAGAATGAAATAGGCAACAATCAAAGTAACAAAAAAATGAATAATACCTTTGATTACAAACGCAAAAATGAACATGAATTTTAATCATGAGTTTATCAATGAATTTTTTCCTTTTTTTTCTTTCATTTTTGCTCGCCCAATAAAACCTGGAAACTCTGCCAAAATGGTTCAACAATGAAAAGTTAAAAAATTTGTTGCCAATCAAGACAGGCAAACCTGGTTTAGTACATTTCAATAACGAAATGTTGCCAAAATAAAAATGATTTTCCCTTCAATAGTTCAAGATTTATCAAGAAAATCAAATTCACACATGAAAAGGGGAAAAAACCTGAAACAAAATGGACTTAAATTTGAATAGCAAAGTCAAATTCAATTGCAAAACAAAACAGATTCTGAAAAGTCGCTTATCCAATGATTCAGGAGCGAGTCTCATCAATCGATCTGATGCTGGACACAATTTCGAGTTCATAATATTTCCATGTCTCTGGATTCCTATCATCAATTGCAACATTTGAATAAATAATATTAAACAATATTTCCATGAGAAAACCAGAAAAAATATCCGAATTGATGAGCCATTAATCATCAAAATCAAAGTAACATTCAAACACAAAATCAAATTATCGATTGATTAATCAGAATTTCCATTTTTTTCGATCAATAAAAGTGTCAATAAACGATTCGAAAATCTCAATAACAATAAAACAATCGATTTCTGAGGTTGACTTTGAATTGACTTAAAAAGAACCCAAATCTGTATTTAATTTTCAAACCAATTGCAATTTCATCAACGTTGACAATTCAATTACGAGTTAAAGGCAATGTTTAAAAATGAAGTTTCAATAACTCGAAAATAAACATTTTCTGGTCACAAGCGCCTTTTACCTTTTATATAAATTTCCAATGATAAATGAATCAATCAACAGTTGCAAAGAATTGGGTTCGTCTCTCAGGGAAGTCTATTTATCTGGTAACCTTCTGAGTGCAAACTGAAACTTGAAATAAATCAAAAGGAAAACGGAAAAGAAATCAATCAAATTAGCACATTTTTGCTGTTCATTTAACATAAATTGAGTAAAGAATTTTGAACATTTTGTTGAGAAACAAAACACACCAGTTAACCAATATTGATTCATGAGCGTTATTACAGACAAAATAGCTTCATTTTGGCTCAAAACTTGAAGCTTAACCCTGCAACTTGCAACAACCTGTCTCGAGATGCAAAAATAATGAATTCAAAATTTACTACAAAACTAATTATGATAAACACCCAATCATGTACTAGCATTAAGACTTGCAATGTATTAATATACACATGAACACACAGAATGGTGATTGATGATGTTCAAGATATATTTTGTTGGTTTTGTTTCAACACACACAAAAACAACACACTTTTCCAACTCTTTTAATTATCTTGATTACATTGATGTTGAACAAGTGACTGTTGTTGAACATTACAATGAAACATGAACAAAACCATGGTCACCATGATAACTCTACCGTAACATTTACTGGTCAGTGTTTTGTTTTTACCTTTTTTTTCTTGTTCTTTTTCTTTTGCTTCTTCCATTGTTCACCTTTGTTCATCATAATTGGAGGTAAATGATTAGAAGATAATTAGTTAATCGTGAGTTGTTATTCACCAGGTTGTCCATTATTCATGAAGGAATCATGAAGGAATGAGGAACAGGAATGGAAAAGGCTGAGAATAGAAGAAAAATTGAATCGAAAATTGAGCTCATTTCATCATTAATTGTTTACCAATTGATTTAAACCATTCGTTGATTGTTGCACCTCAACTAATTACAATTAACCAATAACGAGATTCCATTTAATTCAATTTTTCCTTCAAATATTTTTTCGGTAAAAATTTATTTGTTTTAATTTCTTTTTTTGGTCACTTTAGTAATATTTGATCAACATTTTCATTTAAATTGCGATTATCTTATTGATTACAATTGAGCAATTTGTTGTTGCCTTAATTATAATCAAATGAATTAAAGATTTTCAGTGCAAAATCAATTTCTCCATCATTTCTCATAATCAAAACCAATCCTTGTTTAAGGTTCACCTTTTGTTAACTTGATTGCCGTTAATTGATTAACCTTAAACCAACGTTTTAATTTGATTTCAATGGAAATGCCAATCTAGTTAAAATGATTAACAATAAATTAATTTGATTGAAATTAATTATGTGAGAAAAGATGAAAATTAAATTCAAGTAAAACAGTTAATCGGTTCTTAAACTCAACATTTATGGCATTTCATTATTTACTGTTTAATACAATTTAATGATAATCAAATTAACCAAATGATCAATTGACTAATAATAATGATAATTTTATAACGCTTTTTGGCTTCAACTTTGATTTGCTTGAAGGTGCCTTTGGTTAATTGTTTTTAATGGTAATGGTTAACTGTTAGGTTAATTTGTCCCGAATGTTGATTTATTAATCAAATTGTTGCCCAGCTTTTCATCAGAGGGAATAAATTAACAATTTAAAAGCCTAACCTAAAAGCATTAACAGGTCAAAGGTGATGAAAAGCGTTGGCAATCAATGAGCAAAGTTATTATAAGAATGGGTTCAATAATTAATAAAAATAGGTTGGAGAGAACCAGAAAACCAGAAAAGCTAATGTTACCGGACGGTGATTGATGATGTTTCCCTTGTTTATTTTGTCCTGTTTAATCTAGTAAATATACAATTTAATTTAATTTGATTAATTTAAATTGTTTCCACTTGTTTTTCCCTATTTAATTCATCTCAATCATTTAACATCAACATTGCCAATTTACCCAAAAAAAGAGAAGAAGAAGAAAAATGAAAAGAAAAACATTCTTCATTCACAATTTTCTCTTCTCTTCATTGCAATTCCTCCTTTTCTCATCTTCCTCTGTGTTTCTCCTCCTTATCCTCATCTATCAATCTTGTGCTTTAATTTTGCTCCAATCATCTTACTTTTCATCATCTCTTTACCCTCTTCAATGAGCTGGCCAAAATTGATATTCATGAAGAAGAAGGGAAAAAATGGATTTTCCAATGTTGATGGAAGAAGCGAGAGAAAACAAAAAAAACTGTGAAATACGTTTCACTCTTCAATCATTGTGAGCAACTTTTCCTTCTAATGATAAAGATGATGAAAGTGATGATGATGGGAATGATGAGGAGTGAAGAGGAGAGCATCTTTTGGATCAAACTTTATAATCCAATTAGATGAGTGAGCGAATTAAAAAAAAGATGATGTAAAAATGTTGCTCTTATTTCAGTTTCCCTTTTCAATATTAACATATTCACCTACAACAACAACAATCATTATCTTCATCAACACCAACATCGCACTCTTCTCATCACCTAACTGCTCACTCATCATCAATGCTCTTTTACCATGAAAAAAAACCACCAACAGAGAAGAGAATATCTTTTTCTTTGCAGAAACAAAAAACAATTCTGGTTATGAGTTTGTACTTTTTGGTTAGGTTGTTGGTTAAACAGTAAAAATCGCAATGAGAAATGAAGTGATACAAAGCATACAGAAACACACTAAATATATACAAATTGAACATTCCTAAATCATTGCTGTCAATTGAACTGAAAATCTGTGAAATCTGAAGAGCAAGAGGAAGATAGAGAGAGAGAGAGAGAGAAATAAACGGTAAAAAGGAGAGAAAAGGCAAAGTTGCTATTAACATGATGATTATTTGCAAGTTAATCTAACAAAGATCAATTGTTGTTGCTCTTTTCTGCTCCGCTTTTTTTTATTAATTTATTATGATTAAACATGATTGTTAACTGTTTTGCCACCAAACCTAATCACCAATCAAACCTGAACACCAACTGCAAGCAAGGCAACCCAAGTAACCCAAGTAAACCGAGTAAACCCAAAACCAAAAAGTTAACCTTTTTTTTTGTCTTCCATTAATTTACTTAATTATCTCAAGATTATCCGTAAAACCTGCGTTCAATGTTGCACTTGCTCAAAGAACCACAAAATTGATTAAATTTTCTGTTCATCTCCTATAATCTACTCATCTTCATCTTCCTCTCTCTCTCACTCTCTCATAATTGTCTTCATAATCTTCCCAATTCCTCATAACCAAATCTCAGTTGGACCAAATCGACCAGTTCGACACTCACTATCTTCCATCCTCACTGATCATCCTCCTTCTCACTCTCATCTCACTTATCTTCACCCGAAAACCATGGAGATGATATTATCAAGGAAGCTTATCATTACTATCCATTTACATCAACGAACCTGATTCTGTGACCTTAACCGTTTCTAAACTTTTTTTTAACCTTTTTACCATTTACTCAACCTTTGCTTCAACCTTTGTCAAAACCCAAATCCCAGTAAATGTACATTTATACCAATCGACACGCGACAAGTTAACCAACAGCCAACCATACACCTTGCTAGATCCGCCAAGTACAACTCAACCAGTGATCAACACTTTTTACTCGCAAATCTGTTTACTCTTAAGTGATCAAAGTGATTCTTTCATTGAATAATGTTTAACCATTTCCCTGAATACTCCAACAATCAACCGGATTAAATGTCAAGTGAAAATCAGTGACTTTCATTCAGTGTCTCTCTCCATTGGAAAAGTTGATTCTTTTTTTGTTACAATTTACTTCACTTTTTTTTCCTTCAACTTTACATGAGTTTTTAAATTTCCATTGGCAAAAGTAAATCAAAATTTCGCTCTCAACTTTAACCACATTTTCATCCTTTTCATCCTCATCTTCATCTTCATTCACCCATCAGCCAACCTCATCACACAACTCACTTTCACCAAGATGACTACAAATTGTCTGTTAACAACAATTAAATCACAAAACCTGATCATCATCAGTAAACATTCCTCTTCTTTGATTAAATTTTTTTTATTATGGCTAATTGTCACAATACAACTGTGTGATGCCATCAAATGGCTGTAAGTAATTACACTTGTTAATGTTAATCATCAGTCGCCAGTTTTGTTTTATTCACTTTTTGTAATCTTAATTGTTTCCCCAATAATATATTGCACCAGCTACTACAACCTTTCACTTACATGCCATTCCTGTTATCATTGGCGTTACTTTTATGGCAACTCAGTCTAGTTTATCACCTTTAATGTTTACCTTTTGTCTTCTTCTTCGTCTTCATCTTTCTATCACCGAGTTCAGCTTCACACAATTTATGGTCAAATTTCGAGTTGGAAAGTTTTCTTCTCCTTTCTGTAATTCATTCCCTGAACATCAATTATCTTTCCTTCTTTAAGGTTAACAATTGTCTAGACATCAACAGATCATAATCAAACAATTAGACTCTTTCAAACTCTTCAATCTAATTGTTCTCATTGTATCATCTTCAACGAACGTTGATGCTTTCATTCAAAATTCTGTTAAAGTTGTCCCAATTTTTCGAAAAATTCAGATATTCTCAGCATTTTTGCTTCTTTTCCAGCTATTAGCGAGTTCGATTGATTGTTGTTTAGATTTGATAAACAGATATTTAGTGAGTGTCTTTAAGCTCGTCTTAAGCTTGGCAAACATTTTAAAATGAAATTCGAGAAATTTTTTTGCTAAGAAAATTTCTTTTTTCTAAACATTCAGATTATTGCATTTTCATGATTCAATTCGAATAAAAATTTCAAGTCGATTCTCTAACATTTCAAACTAAAATCATTTTAGTCTTTATTGAGCTTCAATATTAAAACCTTTTCATTTGGTAAAGTTGAAAGAAATTTTCACTTCAAAAGTTTCGAAGAAAATCTTTTTATTATTTCTCATATCAATCAGATCAATTTAATAATTTCAAGAAAAGGGCAAAATACTAGTAGTGCAAAATAAAAATACAATATTCAATTGGAATGATTTGTTGGCATAAAACTTCAGGAAACAATAAACAAAATCTGATCGAGATTCTTGAGATGCAAAGTTTTCGCTTTCATTATTAATACTTTTGCTTTGAATCACATTTTTCACCTTTGACTGCAAGTTAATCGTTGAAAAGGTTTGTTAGGTAAATTGATTTGGATATTGAATTGCGATTATGATTTGCAATGTTGGTGCGTTCATTACTCCATTTCCATGTAATCTGTAGTTTGATTGAAACTTTTGCGAATCATAATTCAATTAGTTTGTGATCAATTTACAAACAGAACAAGATATTCAATTTTCACACAATTGTTACACCAACCATCAAAATATCATTTACATAACATTTCAAATGCAACAGCAACAAATGCACATGATTAGTGCTCATTTATTGGAATCGAGTTAATCAAATAGTGAAAGTTACAAAATTTTACAGGCGCTTTAAGAAAAGATTTTACTGGTTTTCATGAATTGAATCAAATTTTTCTTGTTTTCTTGTTCTCATTACAGGGCTCTGTTGCAAAGTTCATCGTCTATGACAACAATTAATTCAGTGGACATTTGTGAAGCATTTAAAGGTTTAACCAAAAAACAGATTCAAATATGTAAGCGAAATGTTGATCTGATGGAATCAGTTGAAACGGCACTCAAAGAATGCCAGCGACAGTTGCGTGATCGTCGTTGGAACTGTTCATCACTCGAAGGTTCAAAAGCATTTGGCAAAAGTTTAACCGAAGGAACTCGAGAATCAGCTTTTGTTCATGCAATTACATCAGCAGGAGTCTCGTATGCTGTGACAAAAGCCTGTAGTTCAGGCACTTTATTGCGCTGTGGCTGTGATAGAACCTTTTTTGGACCTGCAAATGGATTCCATTGGGCAGGTAATAACACGCAATAACAATATAAACGCCAACAAAAATTTAAATTTCTATTTCCAAGCGAAAAAAGTCATTTCAAAATTTCATCAAACTCGTCATTTACATCAAATTATCTATAAAATTTCGGAATTTTAGTTGAAACTGAACGAACAAAGAATGTCTCAAGTTGAATTTTCTTATTCGATTTCAGTTTGAGTTTTGCTTTGGCAAATGACGAACAATTTTGACATCGAAATCGAACGCGTGAAATTTGATTGAAGAATTGATGATAAATTGAAATCAGATTTCATTGACAGAAGGAAACTTTACATGAGCAAACGTTTTATTCAAGTCAGGGTTAAGTGTTTACTTTCCGTTCAATAGTCAAACCTTTTGCAAATAAAGTGATTAAATTTGCTTTTTTCAATGCAAATGTGATTCCATGAAAATTATAAAGCCAATTTCGCTCAGAATTTCATTAGTTGAACATGCAAATTGTCCTTGATTGTTGATTGAAACTTGAAAAGTTTTCAAACACAAATGACTGAAATTGTTTAATGTTTGCTTAAATACACTTTGATTAATGATCTTAATCTGAAATACTTTTTTGTTCTGTTACAGGTTGTTCTGATAATATTGCATTTGGAACAGCATTTTCCAAGACCTTTATCGATGCCCGTGACTTACGGACAACTCGTTCTAAGCGTAACACGATGGTTGGTGCTCGAGCTCTAATGAATTTACACAACAATGAAGCTGGACGAAAGGTTGTCCTGAACAACATGAGAATCGATTGTAAATGTCATGGAGTTTCAGGTTCGTGTGACATGAAAACTTGCTGGCGAGTTTTACCCTCATTCAAACAAGTTGGTCTCATTTTGAGGCAAAAATTTGACTCAGCAACTGAAGTTCATATACAAACCTTACTCAATGCTCTTCAACCTTCACCGACAATCCAAAAAATTGATGCACAACCCGAAATTAGAGCCAAAAAGTCTTCACATAAAAAGGTAAACACTTACAGCATTTAAACACTTTACTCAAGCAAAGTGAATTTCCTTATTAAATTGTTGATTGTTCACATTATTACATCTAATATTTACTATCCCAAGTTATATCTAAGCCTTGGGTTTTATTTCAATCGCCAAAATGATTGTTCGATTACTCTGAATGAACCTTTAACTAACGTTGTATTCACTAATTCACGTTATTCTTTCATTGGATTGAGAGCAAAAAGTGTAAGCCTAAAACCTAAAAGTTGTCACTAAATTGCTGTAACACACCATTACAGTGTAATGAACATTTAGTGATTGTTTTCTGAGCAAATCATTCATCAATTTTGTCGTTTTATCCAAAAGTCAATTATATTAAAAAAGAATCAAATTTAAAGAATTAAGAGAGAAAATCAAATCTGGCCAAATATTAAAGCTACAGTCTTTTAATCACTCTGAAAAGAACAGATAAACTGTGAAAAAACTTTTTGTCCAACGAGCTTTTCCTTCCACTTCAAAAGCAAATCTGAACAAAATTTTCAGCCCCAGACTCTAACTACTTGCCGATTAAACCTATACACTTTATCTCTACCCTTTTAAGTCAAAATTATAGCGTTATATTAATGCCGAAGGTGTTTACTTTGAATGACCAAAATTTCAATAAATTCTCATCTCAACTTCGTATATTTGACATCTTAAATCTCTTTCGACTATCGGTTGGAAAGTTTAGTTATTTTTGTATTGAATGCAAATCAACAAATTATTTCTTATAATTTAGCTTTGAATGTTTAACTATTATTAATCGCTTCGAATGTCTTTACTCTGAATTTTTTCAATAAAAATGCAAAATTAATTTGATCGTTTACTCAAATACTTTTCCAAAGTTTCATTCCGTTCTTTACCTAAGATCAGATAAATCTTGATTTACTAAAAGAGCACACAAACTACTTTTAATTCAGGGAAAGTTTGTTGGCAAGTTTATCAATAATTAAGTAATTTTGCATAATATCGATCAATGTTTAAAGCTTACCTCAACGATAACGACCATTTTAGCTCAACAGCGAAGATAAATGCTCCAAAAATTAGCAATTAAATATCAACAAATCGTAACTGTACATGAAAGGATCGATGATCACAATTGTGAGCAAGAGTTCAACTTGACTGTAATGTTTAATATTGTTTTCATTTTGACAATGTATTACGAGCGAGAAATGATGAATGCTATTAATATTTGAAATGCTAACCATTTGTGCTCGTTATTCATGATTTATTCAATGCTAATGGTCTGAAATATGCTTAGAAAACTGATTAATGAAGAAATATTGATTTAGAAAGTTTTTCTACAAAATCGACATTCGAAAATATTGAAGCAATAATCCATCAATCCGTTATTGAGTCTAATATTGTGCTGAAAAGATTCAGCGTGCATTTAAGATAGCAATTTATTTTCTCAATGAACTTGCATTTTCCTCTGCAAATCGCAATTTAAGATTAACTTTAACTTGTTTCCAATCAAGAGTTAATACGATTTAAAAGCAACATTCATCATATTTTCTTGGGTTAAAGGCAAATTAACTCCATAAATCGCCTTTAATTGTTAATAAATTTTCAGCTAATTACAAATTGTTAGTTGATTTTTATGACCACAATTTATTAACTAGCCAAAAGCAGATATGAAAAGATCATGTATGTGGGTCAAGTTTGATTTACAATTTTTAGCTTAAACCAAAAATCCATCATTGAACTTAATGGAAATCGATATTTGATCAAATATTTCTGAAATACCTTATGCCTTTCATTGAATTCAATGAGCTCTGAAAAATTGAAAACATTAAGATTATGAAGTGATAATCTTTACTCTTTCAGCTAAAGATATTTTGACAAAATAATTTCATCAGTCGTTCCATATTCAGAAAAGAAATATCAATTTGAAAGTTTGATCTTCATTAAAATCCAGTAAAAGTTAATCGAAATCAGAGCTTTATTATAAATAGCTAATATATTTGCCAATTTATAGTGAAATCCAAAATTTTTGCGTTTCTTTTCCAAGTAACCTTTTCATGAGGAAGCTAATGATTCTTACCATTTCCATCATCGTCATGATTCAATCCTATGGATTGACGAGTGTCTGTGATGATTAAACTTGAACTATTCATGCAATGATTGAGAAACTCAAAAATAGCTGGAGACATTCAAATGTTACAATTTTTACTCGAAAATGATTTCACTATTTACCAGAAAAATAAACCAATTCAAAACAATCTAAACATTTTCATGGGAAAAGAAACTAAATAGTCCAAAGAATAAGGTTAATTCGTAAACTAATAATAATCGATGTTCATTCAAATCAGATGAACAAAACATTCTGTGAGAAATGATAAAGATTTTTAAATTATTTTAGAAAACTGAAAAAGTCAATTTTCTGTTGACCAGTTTATACATTGTATCAACTCAGGCTCATGATTTAGCTGTTAGACAATCTTTTACTGGAACAATTTGGTTTAATTTATGAAACTATTCATTATTGCTGTTTAAAGATGAAACCTAAATGAATCTCTGGTTATAAATATCAACTTATCATTGTCATTACAATTCAATTGCATGATCATGATAATTTCCATGTTTAGTTGAAATGTGCATTGATAACTGGGTTCGAAAAAGATAATGGTTAATATGAATGATGATATTGTAAAAGAATGCTAATTAAACAATCAATTCTGTTATAAACTCTATTAATGGCCATTTAAGTGAAATTAAAGGATTTAATGATTAATGGAAAGGCATGAAATTTGTAGGCAATTAAAAGATAAATGCGAAGAGAACCCAAACAGAACCGAAAAAAGGTTTGAACCAGAAATTGAATGAAATTGGTTGAACAAGACAATGAACCCATAAGATGAATATCATGTAAAAGTAAAAGTAAATTGTAGACAAAATATTAACCAGAATAAGCTAAACAAGGGAAAAATGGATGAAATTTGTTGATAATGTTCAGAGTAAATTGAAATCGCCTGTTTCACCAAAAAACAAAGAAATTTTGAAACAGATTAATGTTTGGCAAAAGAAGCGCAAATATTAAAAATTTAATCAAGGTTACTCCCAATGTAAGCACAGTTTGGGCGAGTTCACAAATAATATTAATAGTTGCGATGATAATTATAATAATAATAGGGAGAAACGACATAATAACCATGAATGACACCATCTTTTATCGCTTATTTGATTGATTACCTTAAAAAATGTTTCTTTTTCCCTCTTCTTTACCTTTTCATAAAAATATTGTGAATAGCTCAGACAGTGATGACTATAAGTGATTCATTTATATTCACCAAGAATCCATGAAAATGTTAAATTTAAAGTTACTCCATGTTTCTGTTGGCCCATCAAAATTGATGAATTGATCTTCAAATGTCTCTTCACCTTTCATCTATTTTACCATAGACCTTTCGATAGGTTTACGTTTCTTTTTGTCTGTCGATGTTTAAACCATTTTTCAGTCTAATTTTAATTGACAGGCGAATTTGGAATGAAATTATTTCAAATAAAATGTAACTCAATGTTGAAACATTAAGATCGAGCTGACTTTTTAGGTTTAATTTTAAAGAAAAATGCTTTTTTCGCAAGCCGAGCTTGAGCCATGGCTTTGAAACAGATGACAGCTTATCTTTTCATTAAGAGAATGTCAAATTTTTAAGTGTCTGTAAAATTAATCAATTGTTAAGAATAATTAATTAGCTTGTAGTTTCTTCATGTTTCATTATTTTCAGATTGTAAACTGTGCTCTTATTACATGTCATTGTCACCTTTGCTTTCAACTTTGACTCACTTTTTCAACATGTGCTTCTTCAGAGCTTCCATTACCAGTCAACCTTAAAATTTCAGTGACAAGTAATTTTTCAATGATTAAAACAACGTTTCCAGTCTATATTTATTTTTAATATAACATGTAAAGTTACATTTTAATATTGTCTTTGTAATTTGATGTTCCTGTTGGTTTTACTCATCAAAATGAGCCTAGTCTCACAGTTTACATGTGAAATGATTAATTCTTGTGTTGACAAAAATCATCTCTCATGTTTTTTGAATGGTAAGATGCTGACAAACTGACCAAGTGTGAGAAAATTATTTCTCAACAATTTGGTTCACTGCTAAACTGTACAAATTTTTTGCTACCCCTTGTGAACAATCAACATTAGGAAGCTCATTAATTATCTTTCCATGATGCCTGTTTAACAAGAGGTACTATGGAGTCAATGGTAAATAATAGAGGGTTTATAGTGATCACTTTGCTTCTCATCTGATTGTGTTATTTTTAGGTAATGCTTAAATAACTTTTGTTGATTTTATGCTAATTCAATTTTTTTGTGCCTTCTATTTGTTTCTTCTCTTCCCTCTTGTCTATACATACAGAGATCTCGTAAAATTAAATTATCAAATCGTCAAAATGGTTCCGGATACAAGCCACCAAGTGATTCGGATCTTGTTTACCTTCACTCATCGCCAGACTATTGTGAAAGGGATGAAAAATCAGGTTCCCCTGGAACCCATGATAGATTTTGTAATGGAACCTCTAAGGGTGCTGATGGTTGTGATATACTTTGTTGTAATAGAGGTTTTACTCGACGATTTGAGACTGTTAAGGAAAAATGTAATTGTAAATTCTTTTGGTGTTGTCAAGTTGAATGTGACGAATGTACTCATCAGATTGAGATCAACACTTGCTTGTGAATTGTTGAGTCAACAAATTCTAGCAACGACAAGAGTTCTTAAAAGAAAACAAAGTTCAAGCAAAAAAGCCCAAGTTAAAGCCAAACCAGGCCTAACACAGCAAGAAATCAAAGGGAAATAAAGTTTTTAGAGGAAAAGGCAAAATGGAATCAAACAATCATCAATTTCATCAACTTGAATTACTCTTTTTCTTTGGATTTACACTAAATTTCTGGTTGTGTTTGGTTCCTTTCAATCAACCTACACACAGATAAATACATCATCATCCAATAAATTATAATAAATCAGTCACACAAAATTTGAATAACCATCGAGTAGGCTGATTATGGCTATAATATCTTTACCATTTACTTATTCCTGATCTATTCCCTATTCAGAAGGATGAATCAGTGGATAATTTGTGTGGTTTAATCTTTGATTTCAAGACGACGAGGAGATTCATTTGATTGATGATTATAGCCATCGGTTGATGCTGTTGATGAGGACGATGATAATGATTGTGATGATCAAAGAGAAAACTGAAAGTTTCTTTTAGCTGAATTTGTCAGCTATTTTATTGATACAACAAGATTACACTAAAGTTAAGGATATTTGAATTGATTGTCAGATGGTGACAAAAATAGGAATTGTTTGATTTTGACGGTGATAATTATTATCAATTTCAATTCCTCTTTCCTGTGCATTTATTAAACACTCTGGGATATTGTTGCTATTGCTATTATTATTTTGATAATTTAATTCTGCTCGCCTTTTCAGTTGTTCAATTTCTTGTCTCAACCAACTTTACAATTGAAACAACAATCACGATCATGTTGTTGATGGACACATAATGATGGTAATAATAATAATCAAAGTTTCTCTTCATTTCCTTCAATTCCAATGGCAATCAATGTTTATCAATCACAATCAATATAAATTTCAATTATTGGTTTACAGCCAATTGAGAGGCAACCTCAATTAGGAAGGAAATTAATTAAAACGCTTTCAGATAATCAATTGGTCCAAATAACATCAACACCAACAGCAATACAAACAGGTACCTTAATGATAATGGATTATATACATTGAAAAATCCTCAACAATCTAATCAATCATCATGAGCATAATCGACATCGACATACTTTCTGAAAATTGTACATTGCTTTTCCCCCCTGAGATGAAACAATTTTACTAGGAATCATCAATCTGTGTATAACTTTCCTAATAAAGTTCAAACCATTTGGCTTAGCAAAATGATAAATACAATAACGATAGATGAAAAATTCAATTGACTCTGAATTTGACAGTTAAATTGAATACTTCTGTATTTCTTTACACAATACACTGATATTGATATGAATCACTTTATATCAATATCACAGTCACAATTAAAAATAAGATGTAAATTTGATTATTATTAGTGTCTTATAATTGATTATAAATTATCATTCACCGTCACTCTGACTTGAAAACGTTTCCATCTCCACAGATATGATTGACCTGGACCTTCACCATCATCGCATTATTTATCATCAACAATTTTGCTGTTTTTTATTGTTCAATATTCACTTGAAAATAAGATAATACTTAAATTAATAAAAATATATCACAAATAATAATTAGTATCCATTTGAATCACTTTCAACGGTTAAAAATGGTTTGTTTCGGTTTTGAAAATAGTAAGGCTTTTGGTGAGAAAAACATGTTAGCCCTGTTAGACTTTATTTGATTGTCGTTTAGATGATTATTCACTTGAAGAATTGACTTTTAATGAAAATTTGAGCTTCAAAAAGCTAAAGGATGTTTTAATTAATTGTCATGACACAAAGAAAACAAAAATTGTTGATTAATTCAAGTCAAATAAAAATAAACAGACATTCTTTAGTCAGTCACACTTTAAAACGCATTTTTCACTGAAATCCTTCTTTGAAAATGGCGCACTTTTTGGTTAGCCGTTTAGCAGTTGAATGATTGGATACTCTTGAATGATAAGGTGTGTTGCTACAAAGAAAGGGAAATAGAAAAGAGAATCTGTGCAAGTTGAAAATCAAAAAGTTGAAGTTCAATTGTCATTTTAACTATAACCTCTTTTTGTTTATCAATTGTTTCCAATTGACTTTTACCTCATTTTTCATCCAATACATCCACTTGTTCCTAATTTTGTTAAATATTATCTATCATCATCGGTCGATCACCTGTCAAGCGTCGTAAAATGTCAACCACTTCCCAGAAGCACCATAGCTTCGTGTCAGAGCCTATGGGCGATAAACCAGTAACCGATCTAGCTGGTGTTGGTGAAGTCCTTGGGAAAAGATTTGAAGATAATGGATTTGATAAGGTAAATGTTTTTTAGCCTATTTTGTTGACTGGTAGATGAATTTAAATTCAGATGGTCCTGTTAAAGTTGTCAATAAACTATCTTCTGTTAGCCATTACAACTGATTTTCAGCTCTATTGCTATGTTCAATATCTTTTGTAATCTTACTTCTTAAACTATTATTTAACGTTTTTTCTCTCGTTCTCCTTTTCAGGCTTATGTTGTGCTGGGCCAATTTTTAATTCTCAAAAAGGATAAAGAGCTTTTCTCTCTATGGATGAAGGAGACCGTCAATGCAAACAGTAAACAGGCCAAAGATTGTTACCAATGTCTCTCAGAATGGTGTGATCAATTCCTATAGAGACTTTTTTTAAAGTGTCATTAAAAGAGTTTCATTAAAAAAGTGTCATTAGAACCCTCATTAAATTGGCGACAAACTTAATTTCAATTTTTTCTGTAAATATGTAGACTTTCATTGGAAGAAAGGTGAAGCAAGGAGGCGAAAAGTCAAACACTCCGATAACTTCGTGAAACCAACAGAGATTCAATTGCTAGCTGAACATAAAAGTATTCAAAGGACCTATTCAAGAGCCAAAACAGCCATATAGAGACAGCAGAGATAATTGCAGTTTTTTTGCTTCTAGAAGCATATGCAGACCAGTGAAAGTGTATTCATGAAATCAAAAGTCGACTTTTACACATAAAATGTAGAAAACTTTAAGACTAGCAAACATGTAAAGATAAAGGTGTAAAAATAGACCTCGATTTCATGAATGCACAAAACTTTTGTGAATTTTCAACGAAAACTGATGACAAAGTGCTAAATTAGACATTACTCATAAATTTTAACTGGCTATTAAAACTTAGCCTGGGAAGCCATGAATCACACAGATGATTAGCTTAAAATATTCAACCCAATAGTCCCAATAGAGGAAAGTTTTTTGTGTCCGCCAGTAAAAATAGTTTTAGTAAGAATTGAATTAAACCTGTGAAATGTTAAATTATGATTAGGCGCAAATAGTCATGAGAAATGGCAAGAAAAGACAAATTAGACAGTTTAAGTAAAATAATTGAATTAATATTATTATTTCATTTATAATAATACATATGACAATAAATTTGAGCAATTTTTTGAAAAATCACTCAAAAATTGATATGCTTTTAAGCAAGAAAGATTAGTTATTGTAAACCAAATTAATGCAAATATATAAACAAGATGCAATCGATCAAAGATTGTTTTGTTTGCTCATCAAAAAGAGGAAGGAAAAAACTTGTGATTAAAGTTTTCTTCAGGATAGGACGGAGAAAAAAGGAAATTTGATTCTCTTTTTGATGGCGCTTTGTCAACCTTTGTAATCTCTATCAATAAGAATAGATTTATCTTCAAGATTTACTCTTGCCCTCTACTTTTTACATATCGACGTCCCTCTTGATATCCATTTAATTACGATATACACGTCTGTTAACCTCTGTTAGCATTGACATTAGATGATTGATTGAATGAGAATTCCTTTCATTCTCTTTGTTTGGACACCACACTGAGTTTTCTCACTGCAAATAACGACATATTCCATCATGGTTTAATGAAAATTCAAATGTCGCTTTTTGCCTATCACGATTGCTTGCGATGAAAATGATCAACATCATGATGATGATGCATATTAACGATGGTACAGGAAGATGATGAAACTTATGTGAATGATTATGATGAGACGGATTACGTTAGTGAAGATGAATATTTAAATAGAGTGAGGATGATATTTTCACATTGATCCACAGCAGAATGATGTCAATAAAAAATTTGAACCTAATTAATCAACTCAACTTTCAAGTTCTACTGAATCGCCATTGTTGTTGATTTGGACCAGGTTGCATATTAGTTCTAATTTGCTGTTGCGGTTGCTGTTGTTGTACTTGTTGGTGTTGTGGTAGTAACAAATTTCTCAATCCAGGAGCACCTAATCAAACAAATTAGAATGAAAATTAATAAACTTTGCATATTCTATGAGAAATTAAAAAAATTAAGTTATTACTTTTGACTCCAATGGGTTGTTGCATTTGTTGTAATCTCGCTTGTTGTTGTTGCTGTTGCTGCTGATGAATATGTTGCTGGAGTTGTTGGCGAACCAGAGGTTGTTGATGTTGAGGCTGAAAATTCAAAGAAGAATGAATTAAAATACAATTCTAAACAAAATTTAATTGTGTTTCTTGCTTACATGAGCTTGAGCGTTATCCGGTGGTTTTCCTTGAAGATTTCCACCAGTTTGGGGGAATGCCATTTCTTCGGGTCTCTGTTTAAATTTAGAAATAATTAGTTTAACTCAGTCTTGATTCAAATGTTTAAACAAAATAAATAAATAATAAAATAGTTCAAACAGAAATAAAAATTGTAAAATGACAACATGGTATTAAACAACAGATGAGCAGCGAGGGGGTAAGAATGATGACGTTTAAAGCGTAATTGAGAGTAAGAAGGATTAATGACGATCGAATTTCTGGAAATAGGAGTTGAAGATTAGATGTAGATGATGAGCAACATGTTATAAACATAGAGGAAAGAAACGAGAAATGAAAGAGGATAAATAGGCTCAAGATTTAGAAATGGATGTTTGGAGCTGAGACAACAGAAGTATCCGAGAACAGGGTGAATCTAAATCATAACAATAGTTAATTTTTGAGAGCAAAGAGCCAACCAGACACAAGAGAAGAGCAATTACTAGGATAGGACTGAAGCGACCAGAGCATGCAATACACAGATTAAATAAGTTAGACAGTTAATTTAGACAGGAAAGAGACAAACAGCCCAGAATGATTTACGAGTTAGCAACGATTGGCAAAAATATTGGAAAGTTAACAATCATGAGATACTAAGGTTAATGGATTATTGAATAACTGTTTGTTTTGTTTTCTCATTTGATTTGTTTGATCAATTTACCAATAAATGTCCTTTAGACAGATTCAAATCAGTTTCCGGATCTGGACCTGTTCTCGGAGACGCACTGATATTCCGGAAATTAGTCCCGAGATCTCCTGAAGAAGATTTAGAATAATGCATCCCTGTCGACTGATCGAAAAATGTATGTCCAGAAGGAATTGTGTGATCAACGTGTTGCTGTGCAAATTCGAGTTCCGTTTGCTTACAAGCTTCGAGTTGTTTCTGTAATTGCTGGATATTTAATAAATTGCGATTGCGAACATCATGCGTTGAATGTTGTTGGGGTTGTTGAGGAGGAGGAGGTTGTGAATTTGATTGCTGTTGCTGCGTCGCCTGCTGTTGATGTTGCATCAAATTGGCAAGTGTTGTACCACTCACGTTTTGGCTGTTAAAGTGTATCTGTTGTTGTTGTGGTTGTTGCTGCATTGGCTGCGGTTGGGGCTGTTGATGCATAGGTGGGCCACTTTGTGTGACCAAAGTAGCGGTGGTTTGCTGTTGACCACCAATGATTTGATTTTGCTGTGCAAATTGTGGGTGACCGCCTGTTCCTTGAATAGGGCCAAGTGCTTGATTAAGAAGCACATTTGTTTGTTGCGGTCTCTGGCCACCTGATGCTATCATTTGATTAGGGATAAGTCCTTGATTCATCATTCCATGATTATTTGGCCCGGCATTGTTTCGGATTCCCTGCACCGACTGATTACGAAAACCAACTTGTTGACCGAGTTGTGGTTGTGGCTGCAAATGCTGTTGATTTTGTTGAGATTGACCTTGCATTGGTGTCATTTGACCAGGACCTGACTGCTGAACAACTGGACCAATCTGTTGAATCTTCAGAGTAAAAAAGACAATTTAAATGAAAAAAAGAGAGGAATGATAAAGAAATAAAAAATTAATAAATTCATTGAGAGCAAAATTGAGGAGAAAAGCAGACAAGACAAAGCGATAAGTTAATAAATATAAGCCGTGAACCACCACCAATTAATATCAAGTTTCTGTCTTATCAAAACCATACCGAAGATTAGTTCCAGAAGAAAAGCGTCATAAACATGTTGGTTATTTGAATAAAATTGCAAGAAACAAACAAGTTATCAAGATAACATCGATAACATGAAGGGGACTAGAAAAACATGCAAATTTCATGGGTAGAAAAGTAGTATTTATGCATTATTTAAGAAAGAACATGCAAGAAAAAAACAAAGAGAAAGACGAGATTGAAAGGGAAACAAAGAGTAGAACGGAAAAGACGATAGCACATAAATAAGGAATAAATGTAGAGCAAAATTTTCTATATAACAAAGAATAGGAAATTCGTGAACTTTAGGGGACTTAGTTTAAATTTTTCTGCTCTGACAGTAGCAATATTTATATGAACTGAAAAAGATTGACTGTTAAGCTGACTTTATATCATATTCTTCTGATTAGCGAAATAAGAGCAGCAACACAGCTAGATGAGCGATCGCCAGTTACCTGATAGAAACCGGTTGGATTGGCATTAAGCTGTGGCTGGGACATTGAAATTTGTTGTATCATTTGTCCTGGCTGAGGTGGTGGTTGCATGGCCTGCTGTACCATTTGTGGTTGAGGTTGTTGGCCCATTGCTTGGCCTATGGATTGTCCCATCATTGGTTGTCCAATATTCGTCTGAGGTGATTGTTGGTTTGGTTGCTGCGAGATTTGTTGTTGATTTCCCTGAAGAATTTTGGCTGTTCGAGCATTTTTGTAGGCAGCTTGTATTTTGTGCATGAATGCTTCCTGGTTCATTGGTAAAAAGCCCATAAACGTATTTTTATCTGGTGCATAAATGACAATCATCATTGTATTCTGATTAGGGTATAAGTTGATGCATCCACAGAATTGTATTTGGGGTTGTCGACCGCCTCCTGAGATTGTTTTTTGTAATTTTTGAATTATTTCAGATGTGTCTTGATTAGCAAAATTAAGCACCACAACATGTGATTCATTCTTCAACACAGGTAAAACTGCATTAATTATTGTTCTAGGTAGAAGTGAAAGATTCAGCATAGAAGGCCATTTTTCGGCATTTTTTTCTAAATCAGGGCTACCATTTGTTGATGTAATGGAACAAGGTAGAGAATACTTTGGAGGAATTCCTTCTTGAGCTGATTTTTCTTGAAACTCGATGGTTCCATTCCAAATAATCTTCTTATCTTTCATCATTGAATTTGGCATGGGCATTTGTTGACTTGAGACATTAGAATCTTGATTCATCATACCCCCAGGAGGAACTGGCATTGGTGAAGGTGCATTTTGCGAAAGAGGGGAAGGAACAGAGGCACGATTCATCGGACTAGGAGGTGGAGCAGAGAAAGGCGAAGAAGCACCTCTTAATTGTCCTTGCATCATCACAGGGTTATAGTTTTCTCTTTGTACTGATCTAATTTGAGTTCCTGGGAAGCCCATACGAGTTTGATTTGATTGACCAGGCGGACCAGACTGCTGAGACACAACATTTGGTGCTCCTTGACGTATGGAAGATAGTTGACTGGTAAGAACAGGCATAGTATTAGGAATAGGACGAAGTGGAGCTATTGAGTCAGGCGTTGAGGTTTTGTCAGACTGAATAAATGTCGGGGGCGGAGGAGGTGGTCCTCTGATGTGCTGTTGCTGTTGCTGCTGTTGTTGCTGTTGTTGTTGCTGTTGCTGCTGCTGCTGTTGTTGTTGTTGCTGCTGCTGTTGTTGTTGCAATTGATTTTGTTGTACTTGTTGTTGCTGTTGAAGCTGTTGTTGTGGTTGTTGTTGGTGGATGGTGATTTGAACACTGTCTTTACCTAAAAGAAACAAAAAATATGAATGAATAACATAAAAACTTGTTTTGCTCTTATCGAGGTCAATTTTGTTTATACATCAACTTACTATATACAGCTGAAGATGCAGGAGAAAGTGGCCTTTTTTGACCTGAAGAAAATGAAGCATAAATAAAGTGAGTCAAGCGGCATAAAAATAAGCTGAAAAATACGGATGAATGAAGTGAGTGCATAAAGTTCAAGTAGATCAACAGAATATTTATCATGCTTAAAAAAGTTGAATATTTTTGCCTAAGATTTTCATATACACAAATTGAATGGAATGCAACATGGAACTAAGATGAATGGAAATTTAAGAGAAGGGCTGATTGACTAGAAAATTGATAAAAGCTTTAAAACAAGAGAAATGTACAGGTTTGATAGGAAATCAGCTAAAATTTCAATAATATTCATATTATAATAAAAAGAACACCAGCAACTTCTTTCATCCGTAATGTTCAAGACTTCCAATTAAAATTACCCTGATTAGATGGAGAAGGCGACGAAGATGCTTTTTCAAGAGATTTATTAGATGATTGATTTGCCTGAGGGCTTATGGGTCTTTCTTGCAGTTGAAAATTTTTTAATAGAACTAAATGTCTTCTATCTTTCGCATAGTTCTTAGCTAAAGCTGAGTTTAAGTCTCCACCAGCTTTTTCATATAACTTGAATAGAAAAGGCATCTTTCTAGGAGAGAATAGACTCAGACTTATCCCTCTATCACCCATAATGCCCACTAAATGATCAATCATTAAACCATTATACGAAATACTTTCAGCCGCAGGTAAAGCATATGGCGGAGAGTTACAGATGAGCACACAATGCTTGGGAATTTTGTTATGACTTGAGCCAGGTGAAGCATTCTCTCTCATTGTTTTAAACTCGTCAAAACATTGCAACGAGGTAGCAATACCTTCAGTTATGTGACTACATGAGGATGCACCTCCGCAATTAAATCTGAAAGAGATAGCTAAGGATTAACAAATGGTCTTAATTTAGGAAAAGAAAATTAAAATACTCACTGTATTCGATCAAACCATTGTAAGAGTTTGTGTGTTGATGAGGTAGGCCCAAAACAAAATGAGGCAGGATCGGGAGCCGAATCAGCCGTCATGAAAACAACCAATGCAAAAAGGGAACAATTGAGTGTGTTCTCAAACTCATAATCATTTTCATCTGGAGGTCCACCACTTAAAATTCTGCAAATAAAGATATCACGCTACAATTGTTAGATCTTTTTGTAAAATGAAACAAAATAAAAAAACACATAAGGAGTAAAAACACTAACTCTAGAGTAGGAATGATGTAGCTTGATTTAATTGATTCGGCATATAAACTTAGATTAGCAGTTCCTTCAACAACGAAAACAACTTCCACATTGGAACGATCATTAAGCACCATAGTGAATTAAAAACTACACGATATTAACAGTAAAATGATGATGCGATGTAGAAAACCAGATCACAAATTGTTGACAGTCACTGCTCGCATTGTTATCCTGTCAGTCTGTCTGTTAGTTCCAATATGTAAAGTCAATTTTCATTTATTTTGACAAAAAATCAGCGCCATCTACTGATGATCAATCAATAGATGAGCTTAGTTGTAACAACAAAGATTAAGGTATAAGATGATGCATTAAACAAAAGGGCCAAGGTACCGGCATATACTCACTGAAGGGCGACAATAAGTAAAATTAATACAAAATCAAAACCCAAAAAATTAAAAAATAAGAAAAATAGAGATGGGCGATCACCTCGATTACATCGATACGGATCGATTCCTTTTCAAAAAATGAGCATCGATTAGTTTTTGCGAGAATCGATAAGCTTCACATGAGCTAAAAACTCACGAATTTTGCGATTCCATTTTTGCAGAAAAAAATAAAAGAGAAACCGGCATAACTTTAGAAACTCAGAATTAAAATATTGACTCTTCCAGTGATTTCAGTGACATGCAAAAGACTAATTTGTACTTTATTGATGTAAAGAAGAGACCCAAACTTGGAAAAGTTGCTTGAATGCTTTAAGATTTATTATTTTGCTACCTTGATTAAGCATCGATTCTAATCGTTTTCCTTGCGCTAATCGCTAAAATATCGATTATTTGATTAGTCGAGAATCGCCCATCTCTAAGAAAAAGGTTGCGATTAAAAATTTATTAATGTTTTTCAATACTGCGAACAGAGTCATCCAGTGAGTATATGCCTGTACTAAACTTTGCCTTTTGTTAAATGCATTAATCTTTGACTAACAACTTATAAGAGATCGCAATTTTTTTTCAATTTGGTGTAATTCCCAAAGAGTAATACTCTTAGATGTAATCGTGATTAGTCATAATTAGGATATCAAATAAGATTCAGTAAAAAGGGTCCCTGAAAATAATGACAGTGAACATAAATTCAGAAAAAATTTTTAGATAAATATTATTTTCAGTCTTTATTAAACACTAAAAAATGAAATTTTTAACAATTTTGACTGTGCACATTTCATCAGATTAAGTCAAGAACAATTGGCTTTTTTGATATTTTTGACCAATTTTTTTCAATTTCTTGAGATTTCTTTTCCATGGCATATCCAGCTTTACAAAATACACAGAAATTCAATAGGACGAAATTGCAAACATGTATTTGTCTTGTCTTTGACTTGAATTGTCTTGATATTAAACACCTAAATAATTAAGTTACAATTATGTTTGCTTATCGGCCGATTCCGAAACCAGCTTTACCACCGATTCCTTTGATTCCTGCGGCTCCAGCGGCACCAGCAGCCTTCTTGAATCCACCAGCGCCAGCAGCACCGGCTTTACCACCAGCTGCACCTGCTGCTCCAGTGGCGAATCCCTTTTTACCACCAGTAGCTCCACTCTTGAATCCAGAGGCTCCAGAAGCACCAGCGAAACCTCCTTTAGCTGCTTTTCCTCCAACAGCACCACCGGCAGCACCATGAGCAGCAGATTTGCCGAATTTGAAACCTTGGCTCATTCCGAACTTCTTGACTACACCGATCTTCTTGTTGTAACCAGCTCCTCCAGCCTTAGAGAAACCTCCTTTGGAACCAAACTTTTTACCGAAAGCACCAGAAGCGAAACCACCCTTAGAAGCAGCACCCTTTGATCCACCAACAGCTCCTTTAGCGCCATAAGCTGCACCTCCCTTTGCTCCTTTTGCACCAGCGGCATAACCAGCTTTTCCAGCCTTTCCACCTTTAAAACCGGCAGCTGCCCCACCAGCTGCCCCTCCTTTATAAGCACCGAGTCCTGCACCAGCTCCACCAGCGATTCCTGATTCGGCACCTTCTAAATCAGCTGATACATCTCGTCTTTCTCTTTCCAAAGGTACGTCTTCTTCGCCATCGAAAGTTTCTTCAGCATCGAATTCCTCTTCGGCACGGACAAATTGAACACAAAGGATAAGGGTTGAGGCAAAAAGAGCGAATAACTGAAACCAGAAAAAAATGAGAAGTAAAATTAGTGAAAAAAGTAAAAAAATCTCATGTTAGTTAAACAATAATAGTTGAACGATATTTACCAATTGCTTGTTCATGTTGATTATTTGTGGTACAAGAAAAGTTTTCACTAAAATGTAGAAAAGTTAAAGTTGTTAAAAATAAAGAGTTTTTTGTTGATTTGAATAGTTTGTTTGATTTGTTACTATCTCAATGAGCTTCGAAACTCAACTTGTATTGTTGTAACTTTTTCCGAGCATTTTTATACTCAATTTTGGGAAGCGGGAAGAAAATGAGACAACTAAAGGTGAGTATATCCCATTAACCTTGTGGTATGTTTTTCTTGATTCGAGTGATTAAGAAAAAGAACCAATTATTAGCCTGGTTTGTTTTAGTGATAGTTTTGTCTTCCCTTGGATTTACTCGATAAGACAGATCTCGAGTAGGGTTAAATTTAGTTACAATTGCTGCTCATTGCATGATCAAGGAGCATATCTCCGTTTTACTTTGTGTATGCAAAGATTTACTGGTTCTTGCTCATTTTCACTGGGAATTCCGTTCATGAGGCTTACAACAGATAACCAAACAAAATCAGAGAGCTTGAAAATTTGACTAGTCCATCTTAAAAATGTAAGCAGATACTACAGGTAGAGACGCAATACACAAAGTTAGTAGCTTTGACATGTTTTCTCAGACAAAATGTAAAGGAATAAAGTATCTACGAGTAAATATTAGTTGAAGAATAGGATGAGTCAAAGTAACGTAAATTTGTATTATCGTCAAAATCATTCGCGCCTAAATCCTAACCACAATCTTCAAAAGACTGAAGATGTACAAAACAAAAAATAGATGGCACTAAATTCTGTGTAATGCACTGGTTAAAGCAATTTTCACCTTGTTTACAAATTGACATTGTTTTTATAATTTATATAATCCTTGCATTCGCCTAAATCTTGAATCTCAATCTAAATCTGCCACTTTTTTAAACCTATTATCACTAGATAGGAACTGAGAAAAAATATGTTGTATTAAGTCCATCAATAATTTAGCGTGAAAATTATGTTGCTTAGGGTTGATTTTTTTTTTGAGTTTACATTAAATCAATCATCAAACCGTTAAGGATAGAGAGTCAATTCCATTCTGTAGCGAAAATTAGGCCTTTTTAAATTCCCGTCTGCGGGCGACGCAATCGTATTTATGGCCGCCACTTTACCTTGTAAGAATTTTTCAAGGTACAAATGCAAAAAGAAGTCACGAACTGCCACTCAAAGAGAACTGAAAAAGTTTTGACAAATTTTCAACCCATCTTGGGCAACAGGCTATCAAAACTTTCGACTCTTGATTCAAAGCGAAACACCATCTGATATTTGGTGTGCCTTTTCAATCCTTTACAAGAATAAACACTAATCAGTGATTTTGATGAAACTTCATACTATTAACCTTCAGTGTTACAGCTTACAAAAGTCATATTCATGGCCAGCAGTGACCTGAACTAATTTTTCCCGAGAAATGTTGATGCACCCTGTTGTAGATATATTTATTTAAATTTTTTAAACTTTGTTGTCATTATTTTAATTTGTTTTACTTTATAATTATTATCTTCATTTCATTTCATAGATTTGAATAGATCATAATATTAATAATAATACCATGGACGGAACGCTTAGTTCAAGGCATTATTTTCATCGTTGTCTGCCATCATATCAGCAACCATCAAAGAAACATTTTTTAAAAACCAAAACAATCGAGACTTTGGTTAAACTTTTAGTTTCGCTTTCATTTGCAAGCGAAACAATTAAAATGCAAAGAAGAAAAAAAGAGGAAGAGAAAAACATTGAAGTCGAAAAATGAGATCACCACGGTGAATTGCACTAAATGAACCTTCGATTGGTTGTGTGTTTGTGTGCTTTTTGTTTTTGCTGTGTTACATTTTTTTCCAAAATTTTGTGTGACTAAGAATGAATGGATGACTTGAGGTGAGATGGGTGAAGGGTCAGAAGTAAGGTAAGAAAGGAGTCAAGATGAAGAGAAAGGAAAAACAAAAGGAAACATTTTGACAGTAACAACAAAAAACGAGTTAAAAGATGGGATGAAAAGATGATGACAACGAAGAAATGGTCAACAAATATGATTGAAAATACAAATGCTTTGCTGCTAGGGACAAGGAAAAAGAGAGAAAAAGATGAGAAGAATGAAGAGGGATGAAGAGGATGCTTAAGGAGGATAAAGAAGCAAGAAGAGTGAAGAGAAGATGAGAGAAGCAATTAATTTTCTTTTGCTGCTTTTTGTATTCCTTATTGGTATTTCCTCTTTCCCACAAAATGTTAAGAAAAACTCTGTTGGCGAAGAAAAAGTAACCAAAATGATTAAATCACTTGGGCGGATGTTCAACTGGACCATTTATCTAGACGATGGACGGAAATGGATGGTGAAAGATGGAAGCAAAAATGAAAGAGAAAAAAAGAGAAAAAGAAAATTAGAAGAAATTTCAAAAAATCAAAAAATTGAGAAATTAATTTCATTGAATTGCAAGGTATTACATTTTAAAGGAATAGTCAGACATTGAATCTGATAAATGATTAGATTTTCCGAAAGTTGAAAGTGGTTTTGACCGTTGATTTAGAGGTGCAATCTTGCTAATAATAATAGTTTCATTGACTAGCTGAATGGAAAATTCAAGAATCGACTCAATTTAAAGAGATTCACTGATTACATCCAAACACAATCAGCAATTTTCAACAACTCATTTGAAAAGTCTAACATTTTTGGGCAAAAATTGCTTCAATCTCACCATGAGAAACGCTTGTATTACTCACGATTGTTGACTAAACATAAAACTGAATGAGACTAGAAAAAATAGCGAAACAAACGCATTTGATTTTTGATTATCTGGTTAAGATTAAGCGAGTAAAGTTTTGATAGTAAATATAAAGATTTGGTAAGTTAACCAGAATAATGTCTATGCAATTTGTTGAGTGATCCGAATGACTACCAGGATAACCCAATAAGTTGGTAAGCATGAAATTAATTTCTTGTCTAATGTAATATTTGAAAGGTTAAATTACAAGCTAATGGAACGAATGATTGGTGCATGGCAAGAGCTTGTTGATAAGCTGAAACCATTGCCGCTGGTTGGAAAACAGGGAGACCACTTTTTTCCAGAGCGGGTCGTTTAGTCATTGGTAAAACTCCAGGAAATGTCTATTACGATTTGTCGATAATGGAACCAAAGGTGAATTTGGAAGACAAAGTAATTTGGAAAAGCAAATTTTCCAAGCAAAGAAGAACCAAGATTCAAGATTGATAACGTATCCAAGTTTAAATAGATTGAAAGATAATAGAAACCGGAGATTCCATTATGTTCAAGATTAACAGTTAGGCCCATGGTTACATTCAACATTTCCGTAGGCAATTTAAACAGGAAGAGGATTGAACAGGCAAAAATTGAAGACGATTATGTTCATGTTTATGATGATAATGTTATATTGACATCAGGATAAGTAGATTAACCAATCATCGGGCAAATGTTTTGTTTATGTGTTTTTTGGTAGTTGGGAGGTTGTTTCATCGGTTGGATGTAAAATGAAAGCCAAGACATTATCAGGTAATAAGATGACGATCATAATGATAATGTTGAGGAAGGAAATGTTGGAGGTTTGACAGGGAAGGAGAAGAGAGAAGATGAAAAAAAAAGAAGAGAAAAAGTAATTTAGTATAAAAATATAGCAAATGAATGATGTGACATGATTTAATATATTGAATTGAAGACAATATTGAATGGGAAAATAATGATCAAGTGACAATTGAAGACAATGGGTGAATTGAAAAACAAAAGGATAATCCAAGGCTTATTATTTAATTTCAACATCAATAATCAAATGGGTTTCAATAAATCAATTAATAGTTAACAACATTGTGTGTGTGTGTGCCTTTGATGGTTCAATTTGTAGTTTCAATCAAATGTTGCAGTAAAAATAAAATTAGATTTATTAATGTTAATATTAACCAAACTAGTAATAGTGATAATATTGACTCAGGGAATGATGTTGCGTGATTTAAGTGGAATCAAGTAAAGGATGCAAAAAAAATGTAATATTAGTTGATATTGTTGTATATGCTAGTGAATAATAATTGTTTAAGGTTACTTAAGCAATCGGAAGTTGCATTTTTGATATAAATTGACAGGAAAAACAGGGTTGGTTCATGATTAAAGTAAAAGTTACGGATAATCATGCAAAAGATGATGATAATAATGAAAGATTGATTTACAAAAAGATTGAGTTGAGCTATAATAATGTTTAAAAGAAAAATTTTTCGCCAAAAAAATAACTTGAATCAGAATATATAAATTGAATAAAATTTGATCCGTTGAAAAATCAGTGCACAAAACTACAGTTTAAGACAAAGTTTTTTCATTTTAGGGCGACAATAGACAGTTCAGCAAATGTAAATTAATTGAAGGAAAACTTGAAACAAAACAATTTGATTAGTTTAAATTATTGACCAAAAACGTAGTTGTCTCTTCGATAAGGAACTTATCACATTGGCGATAGCAAGATGCTGAGATTCTGATAATCTAAGCAATTCCTTTGGCAAGAAGGTCAGTCTACTTGTCCATTGAAATTTTCAGCTTCAATTTTCATTCTAAATTGACAGCGAGTTCATATTTGTGACTTGAACACGGATTGGTATCTTCTGAGAAAAATCAGCCTCGATTTATTCTTAAGATTTGGTTGTGATTAAAAAGTGACGGAAATTGTCTGGATAATCTTAGAATAATCGCGATCAAAGATTCAAAAGATGACATCTGAACTGTGCAGCCGAATCATGCATAATCGGTGGATCTTTATTTCGAATCTTTCCATTACTGTTTTCTTTGATTTTAAACGATTTCTAATTTTAACACAATCTAGTCTGGGTTTCGTTGTCTCAATGGACAGACCAATTCTCACTTGTTTATGAAAACTCTTTACCTTCGTTAGAAAGAGTACCAATCAACCAAAACAGCTAATCTCAATTTCAATCAACGCCCAAGAGTTTCTGTGGGAATAAACCTTTGGTCAAACCAAAATGATCAAAGTTGCTAACCGATTAATTTGATAAAATTAGTTGCAAATTTTATTGAAATTTTAGTTCACAAATCATTAGCTGTGAGCTTGAGTTTCCATAGCTGATTCCTAAGCTAATAATTTCAGCTTCCCAAAATCAATAAAAAATCAAATCGGATTTGATAGCTAATGGTTTTAAAAATGATATTGAAAAAGAGTAGCGAAAGTAAATATTGGTTGAAATTTTTAAACTACAGTTCTCTCTTTGGTTCAACTTGGATTTTTTGATTTGAAAAGTGAAACATATTAAAGTTTCTCGAGATCTTGTGATAATGAAAAGTAAGCGATTAAAAAATGGCTACAATTTTGTAAGTTTATATCATTAACTGTAATATGGAGGTGAAAAAATGATTAAAACTATATAACGATAAAGAAGTTTCAGGGAAATGATCAATTTTTATTGCATTTTTCTTTCTCCAATAAATTGCTATTCTCTTCACAACTGTTAACTAAAACAAATGGCACAGAAATGTATTTAATGTACATCAATAGATTAGCTGATAAATATGATGATAAGCGGAGGAATTAATAGATTATTGTCAACCAATAAATGGATGCAAGTAATGATGATTAATATTGATCATCATTTATCAATAAGTGACTTGATTAAGAAAGTAGTTGAAGGCGAAAACAAAACCTGGCTCAATCATCTGAAAAGCTACTCGAATCTGAATAGAGAATGAAATTGAAATTAAAAGAATCACCTTTTGATTGGTAAATTGATTTAGAATGAAATTTAGTGAATACAAAATGAAGATGACAATGAAAATGACAATGAAGACGGTAAAAGGATAATCAATCAATGGAAAGAAATAACGAAATCAAATTGAGTGAAAGTGAATCAAGTGAAGAGAGAAAAGAGGTGAAAACAGATTTAAAGGTTCAACTCTCATCAAGTTTCTCATGAACATTCACTGAAAGAGATAAAAAAGGAAAGAAGAGAAAAAAAGATATCATGGTCATTGAGTATTCCATCAACGTAAAAAAGGCTGAAAAAACACTCTTACATAGGTAAAGGTTGACTGATTAAAAACCTTAATAGAAACTGATTTACAATCTATTTCATGTCACAATCCTGATTGCATTTCAACTGAATAATATTCAAATCAACTTCTGCTTTTCACTCCATGTAAGGAGATATTTTTTGCTCGAGTAAAATCGTTACAATAGTGAAAACAACTGGAAGCTACAACAAGTTGAAAAAATGGATAAAAGAGTCGAGTCGAAGCTTGTAAAGATGAAAAGGACAGAAATGGCCTTAGAGTGAAAAATGATGACAAGATGAAGTTGAAAAAATCAGGCGAATCTGAATCGAGTGCAATAAATCTCTAACCAAAGGGATACAAAAAATGAGGTCAACTTTGAGTTCAGCAACAGTTATGTTTATCCACGAATTTCGTTGTGAACACTTCGCTTTTTGTTGTTGCCTGCAAATCAATATTAAATACTGATTTATTTATATCTAACCAATTGAACAGTTTTACTGGAAAAAAAGAGGATCAACAGTTTCTCGTTTCTTCCCAACTCATGGCTTTAACCATGATCAGCATTAAACTATCAACATCATCATAATCATCATAATCATCTATCATTTTACTCTTTCTCACTCGCATGCTAATCTCCAATGAGATTTGTAAACTGGCAAATTGTTGAGGTTTTTGCTTCACTTTTGCTCTGATTTTCTTCTTCTTCTTCCTTCTCATTTTCAATGACTTGCCTATCAAATTAAATAACCTTTCAAATGATATGCTTTTTTTGCTTTACTTTTTTCTCTCGCTTTACTTCTAATATTCAAAAGTTGTTATTTTAAGGTTTGAGAAATACTGATTTAGCTAATACATAATGTACATAAGCAACATTTCATTTTTGTTGCTATTAGCTGCTGCAAATTGATAGCTTTTTAAGGTTTGCAGTGTTGCCAAAAGATGATGATGAAGAAGAAGGAAAAGTCAAAGATACAAATAAATAACAAGCAGAAATGTAAGCTTTTCTAGTTGAATAGAGTCGGATATCAATAACAGGATGAAACAGATCATACAACTATCAAACTGACGATTAAAATTGATGTCTCAAGTTTTTTAAACTTTTTTTCAGTGAAAAGAGCAAACATTGTGATCGAGTAATCACATTTTCAAGACATTAGTTGACATTATCGAGTTATTTGCATTTTTGAGACAATCAATTGAAATTGTTTGCTAACTAAATTGCAATCCTTTTTTACGGCTAAATAGACAGTTTCTGAGCAATTCAAAAAGTACTAACGATCGATCATCAATTAAAAGCAAACTTAATTGTGAAAATCGGTAACTTGATTACAGTTGAAGCTTATGGTTCAAACAAAACTCTGACTCAAAGTTTCTGAGATTTACATTGTTTTCTGACGAAAGATCAATCAAAAATCGGAATCACTCATAAATTGATTGAATAGAGATTTGTTGAATATCTAGAATTGATTTGATGAAAATTTGCTAGAAACAGAATTTAAAATTTAAATGTTCAATGTTATTTGAATAAGTTTCCAGTTAGGAAATGAATTTGAAAATGAGTCGATGTTAAGGGATTGAAAGGTGAGTTTAGATGATGAATGATGAAAGGTGTGGATTAAGTGGCATACCATTAAAAGATCTTCAGTTTCTCGAACGCGCTTTTTGCCAGCAGCCAAAATAGAAGCAGCAGCTTGAGCCAAAACGTGCGTGGTTGCAGCGGCCGCTGTCGCCGTATTATTCGGCTATTAGTTTATTTTTGTTTGTTTTAATATTATTTATCAGTAAAATATGCAGCCATTAACAGTAAACAAAAATGATAATAAAAACGGGGGAAAAAGTGATAAAGAAATAAAAGAAATTGTTGATGAAAAAACAAAAAGATAAATTAAAATTCATGCATTGATCATGAGAAAAAATTGAGAAGAAAAAAGTTGTGATTTCAGATAAAATTACACATTGAGCAGAATATTGAAAAATATGGAAAAACAATCATGAACAGCGTCACCATGAGGAAAGGGTGATAAAAACAAGCAATAAGAAACATTATCAATGATTTTCATGCTTAATCGATTCATTCAGTTGACATGCAACAGACAGGTAAATGCAAAATGAATCGCAATTCAATATTAAAGGGATTTCAATGTTTTCCTATTTTATTACATAAAGACATTTAGTAAACGCAATTTCATGATTCTTTGTTAGTCTAATGAAGGTGCTAATGATGAAATGAATGATGAGGGTTGAGAAGGAAAAGGAATGGAAATTATTAAGTGAGTTTCCTACCAGAGCAGTAGTTGTGTGTGCCCGTGTTTGGGCTACTTTAAGCTGTGCTTGCAGATGCGGCGGGGGGTGAAAGTAACGGCATTGATTGCGCAAGCAGCGGCTTTTGACAAAGTCCATACAGACCGTGATCAGGCCATCATCTGAATCCAGATGAACATGTTCTGGTGGGTGTGCAAAACGACATTCTGATTCAGCTCGCTTGCAATTGCCTCGCTGGAATTCCCGACAAACCTGGGATTGGGATTTGGGTTCAATTGGGTCATTGGACAACATAGAGGATAAAGAAGGACCAGAAGAGAGAGAGAATGGGACAAAGAATGAATAAGCTGCTCAGGAATTGAATTTTTTTATTCAGATTCTGGGATTTGGAGCAAAGTTAGCTTCATCCAAAGCAAGAAAAGCGAAAATGGTAATCACGCAAAAATCAATCTTTTAACTCGGTTTACTGGCTATTTGACTATTTTGTTAAACTACAGTTTTATATGCATTTATTTTGTATTATTTATACCTCAAGACGATCAGTTCGAGCTGTTTGTTTGGTTGCAATCAATGCTGAGGCTGGAACCAGTCCAAAATTTGATGTTAACTTTTCTGCTGCGGCTGCTGCAGCGGCTGCTGCTGCTGCTGTTGCTGTTTTCAATGTTCAATGTTTTCATCATCAGCAAATGGATGATAAACAGGAATCCATGTTACATTGAGAGGGAGGAAGAGAAAGAAAAGGATGAATCAGCAATAGTTTAAGATCAATGACAATATAAAAAATGAAAACATCCTAATCGACTTATCGACTTTCAAATTTTGTCCATTCATCAAATTTCAAAAACAAAAAGCTTCTAATTCACTAATCGTTGATGAATGGCAAAATTTTAATCTAAAGCTTATTCAATATTCACCAATATCCATGATCAATCAATATTTTCATTAACCAACTTACTCGATGTAAGACCATAGCTGGCTGGAAAAGTGCCATAAGGAGAGGCTATCGTCGGTATATTAGTTACATAAGGATTACTGGGCCCCTGTAATGAGATTGAAATGAAACATTAATAAAGGAATCAACAATAATTACCAAAATAAATCGACATTTAAATTTACAGTTGGCTTTTCAAAATTAATCAATTTAACTTTGCTCAATTACAACTGTTTAAGGTGTTTCCGATGAAAAATTTATTGAGATTGAATCCGATTCAATGTCAATAAATTGTGACGTTTTGTGACGTCACAATGGATTTTTCCGGTGAAATGTTAATTGGATTTACTTCCGGTGACTTTTTTGACCTGTGAATGTTTTTTTCAGCCGTTAGATCATTTTTAGGACAAATTAAGTCCAAAAATGTCGATGTAAATTGATCTTAATCGACTTTTTTGGATCTAGATAACTCGATCCATTTTTCATCGGAAACACCCTTAGTCAATGAAAAGAAATGTAAAACATTGAGTTAAACAATTAGCCTAGAAAAGTCAAGTTCAATTGATTATTTATTAACATTTGATTGTAATCAATCAACGCGATACCAGAAACAAAAAGTACAACAAAACCAGTTGTTTTGCATCATCATCATACAGCTATTAAGGCATTAATGCACATTGTATGTCAACTGAAAACATCTGAAAATAATCAACAATGAAATTTGAGGAAAAATTCAAGTAAATAAATATATTGATTAATGCCTTTTTTCCCTGTTTTGTAATTATTAGTTGGGAGTGAAACTTGTAAATGTAAAACAAAAAAAAACATTAAATTGTAACCAAAGTAGCTTTTCACTGTTACTAAGGTTATTCAATGGACTAAACAAAGCTGCATCATTATGGAATGGTGAAAATGAAATGAGTTTGACATTTGAAACTGATTAGATCACAACTGTTGACAGTAATTTGCTTGCCTACTTTATCAGTTTCCATAAGGTGAACAATATTGAACTTTTTTTCCCTTTCCACTGATAATGGTTGTAATCATTTTCGCTATTATTACAGAGGATTCAGTAGCTTTATACATTTTTTTGCTGAATAAAGCTGTTTATTATTTAAATGAATGAGATAAAGGTGAAGCAAATGTAACATGAACTATCCTTGGATAAGTTGACAGAAATATTAACAAATTCAGATTGGATAGTTTCAAGAGGAAATTGTTATCTAATAATCAGAAATAGATTTGTGGCCAGAATTGAAACATTCATTTAACAATCAATATTCCAATTTAGCCTGAAATTAAATTTTTCCCCATTTTTCTTGCTTCGATTTAAATAACTTTCTCTCTGATGAAACCTTTCTTTCAAGTAAAAATTTTAAATGAAGCCAAAGTTAATCAAAAGATGAAACATTCAGATTGTAAGGTTTCCAATCAGAACTTTTTATCGATAAAAGTAAAGTGGATAAAAATTGTTCACTCTTTTTGGTTAACATCCATAATATGCAAGAATTGAACCAAAAATAAAAAGCTTTTTTTTCTCAATTCAACCTTTTTTTACAAGTTACTTGACTTTCAACTTTAAAGGTGAAAATGATTGAAACTTTAAGGTTCAAGTAAACAGGGTTGCACTGAACATTCCCTTCGGTGCAAATCGTTATTAAATATCAGTAAGAATGCGAATAATTAGGTGAATTTAATAACTTTGATTTGATTGTTTCATCTCAATTTGCTCAGAATCCAAAGAATCAATTTTAGCAGAAAAAGCATTTTCAGCTATTTTTTGAATTATTTATCAACGAGTTTGTTAAATTTTTGAAACCAAACAATTGATATCTTTGGCTTAACATTCAAACCAACACTTTTCCCATCAAACAGCAATAATTTTTTTTTGTTAAAATGATTGAATGAGAAACCCGAGCTCAGTAAAACATGAACAAACCGTAGATTCCTATGATAAACGGTTGAATTGAAAGATTCATTGAAATCTGATGAAAAATGTTTCATTTCATTGTTGGTCAGCTACAATCATTCATCAACAACTATAATTAAACATGAGCTTGTTTCATTGAATAAGCCAAACTCCCTCAGGATTTAATTGATGAAATGAGCAAATATAAAATGAAAGTCAAAATGAATTTTGTTGCAATACTATCACTTTATTATTAGGTCAGGCCATTGTTATCATTAATAGGTCAACTTTGTTATCAATTTTGTTCAATAGGAGAGTTAATCACAATAGAGAGTCAAATGATCACAATTAGCCAATGTGAAAAGGTAACAACTGTTCAAACACAAAAATACATTTTGAGAAAATTTGATCGTGAAACAAATGAATTGAAAGTTTAGAGCAACAGAGATATTAATCATGAAATAGAGTCCAATGAACTTTGCCAGTGAATAAATTTCATCTTGAATGTCACTTTAAGGCTTCGACATCCGTAACCGGATAAAGACGATAATCATCTTCTCTTCACCCTTTCTCATCCATTTGTCTTCCATCCTTACACTTTGTTTTTATACTCTTTTTTTTATCTTTTCAGATCTTTTTTTGTTGTTCAGCAACAAAAAAAGTTCCTGTTGGTTGTTTTTTAAACTCTTGATGTTTATTCAATATTATGCTTTTAACCTTAATGCTCTTTTCCCCTTGATTTTGGGTTTACATTTGGGTTGTTTGTTTACCCAAATTGAACCCAAATCCGCCACCTTTTACTGTAAATTTATATCAACATTAACATCAATCTGATTCACTGAAAGTTTATAAGTGTCCAGTAAAAATCAATGGCCATAATCATGAGGATAAATGTTATTCATGATTGGACCATTTGTCAACTTAATAAATGCTTATTATCTAGATTGATGATAATGGATACCAGAAACCGGAAAATGTCTCCTTTTTTGAGCTTCATTTTTTTCTTGCTTCTCCAGCTTGTTTCAAATGTTGAAGGTAAAGAGAGGGAATAATGATATTATACTTATGCAATTGAAAAGGAAACAAATCATTTTGCTTGGATAATTGTTGTACTATTAGCTGATTGGTAAACTCAATAATTAAATGATTGTAAATGACAATCAATTGATTCTTTCATTTTCATTTTCCTTTTCAAAGGGAAATTAAACAAAACAAAAGGAAGGACATATTCATTATGTAAATTAACCTTGTAGAGACTTAACATGATTCACACAATGAAAATATTTTTGCTTTCATTGAACAAAAAATGGATAACAATGTTTCCAGGTTAACTTTGGGTTCATTGAAACAATTGAAACTTGTCAATGTTAAGCCTTTTGTTTAATCAATTTCAACAGTATTCTTGAAATGACCAAAGGTGAAAGGATCGTCTTTGGTCAAGAATAACTTTGTTTCTATACTAGAGAATGAGAAAAGTAAAAACAGATTGAACAAATGATACTTTGTTGCTTTTGTTTTCACCATTTGTTCACTTCTTTCACCCTTCTTGACTCAATGAATTTCTTTGGAATGAAAGATACAAAAAAGATAAAGATCGCATGGTAAATGTACAATAGGGAAAACAGAGTAGCAAAAGCAGAGCCAATGGTCTCATGAAACACGAACATGAACGGTTAACAGATGGAAAGAAAAGCAAAATCGGTTTACAAGATAAATTTGAAATGGAAATCTTGTTCAATTTAAGGTTGCCATGAAAAAAAAGAATTTAATAACACCAAGAAACATCAATGGTTAAATAAAGAATCAGGTGAAATAACAGATACAAAGGTAAATGTAGATATCCGTTCATCTGGTTAAAGATAAAACTCATACCTTTGTTATTTTCCTCTGAAAATGCAAGATTATTGAATAAGGTGATGAATGCAAAGCATTTCGTTACATTGTTCAGAATCAGTTTCATGAATGAAATTTTGATAAAACTGAAATCATTAAATCATATCGAAAAAGTCCGTTACGACATTGAATCTAAATCAAACTCCAAACGACTGTTATCAACTAATACTTCAATTGTTCAATGGAAGTTGAATGATCAGAAAATCGTGAAAAAATTCCATTGAGTTCAATTTTCGAAATAGTTTGCTGATTGAACTTGAATGAATTTTTGAATTTATTATGAGATGTTCAAAGCACATCAAAATTGGATTGAAAGTCGTTAAAACAAAAGCTTTTTTTCAAGAAAAGTAATAAACAGAAAAGACTAAAAAATCTGAAAAACTGGATGAAACCTTCAACAATTATCTGATAAAGATCTGAATCATTTGATTGTTTCTCAAACATTATAAATAGTCATTCCAAGTCTAGCCTATTGTTTTTATCGAGACAATGAATTATCTTGATGAGAACATTTTTAATAAAAAAGTGAATTTGATTACATTTTAACGAGTAAAGAAGTGAATATTTTTACAGCAAAATGCATTGTTTTGATTGAATTCATGTAGACTGGAAAGATTACATGATAAAAGGGCAAAAGAACAAATCGATGAGAATATCAAACAAGAATAAAATTAATTGAGAAAAAAAATCAAAATATCGATGAACAACGAATAAGATGAATCATGCAGCTTGGGTATTATTTCGTGATGAAAATTAAATGATCGTCAAACATGGTTTTAGTTGACATTTTGTTATTTCACTGAACCTCAATAATAAGCTGAATTAGACTAATAACAGTGATAATGATAAGCGTGAAACATGGAATTACCTTAAATGCGTTTCTTTGACACATTTAAATATATTGATTGTCGATTTGCAATTTAATTAACCTTCAAACTGATGATGAAAAGAACTGAAGATATTGAACAAAGTACAAAAAGTCGAAGACAGAGAGAAGACAACAAAAAAAGAGAAATCGAAATCTTGAACATTACAAAGTACAGCAAGTGGTGAAAGGCAACAAAACAATATAATTATCGGCACAATCGAAGCAATTGTTTCTCAATTGTTGTTACAAAAAAACAAAGTGAAACCAATGGCTAATAACGATTTTTATCAACCATAAACAAAATCCCAAACAGATCCATATAATGATATTATTATGATGATATTACTGGGAGTTGAGGGAAAAGTCGAAGTTTTTTTGTTCTCTGGTTTTACTTTTTTTCTGTGTTTTCCTCATGATAACAATTTGTTATAAATGTATA